AAGATGTACTAATTTGTCAAAATCTGCCATTTTCTGATTAATTTCTGATTTTTCAGAGAAAGTTTCTGATCGTTTTCTGATTTTGAAAAAATATTTTCTGATTTTTCAATTTTTGATCTGGCCACCCTGAATGCCATTCTCAATTTTATGAAGTGTAGCTTTTCGAGGTTTACCAGAAAGATTTTCTCACCAAATACGTAATTGAATGTGCTATTTCTAATAAAGCTGCTTTCAAATTAAAACTCGTAGTAGTGTGAAGCATTTTCGCTCCAATACTACTCTTGTAACCGGATTTCTGTCATTTGTGATCGATATTCGATAGTTTCAAACAGATTAATTCCCACTTAACTGAATTTAAATATTATATTTGTTTTAAAAATAAAATCTAATTCGATTTAATTATTTCTACAACTTTTGTTTTCAGTCGGATCTGTGTTGTAGTAAGTGGCTTAATACGATTGGATCGTATACGACGTGATCCGACAATATCCGGTAACGAAACTTTACCAGAATCCGCCGTGCCGCATGACGCTCGATTTCATGGTAGATCCGGCTTAATCAGTATCACCGGAACCAATCGGATCATATCAGAACGGAACGATCCTACTCACCGGATTATCTGCCCTGATATTTTCCGGCAATGTAAATCTTGCCGGTTCTCGGAGAATCCGGTAACCAGATTTGATAAGAAAACAAAGAAAATCATTGGAATTCACTAGAAATTAACCGACCGAATCCGGTCACCATGTTACATCGGAATTATAACCCGTCCGACAAGAACCGACTGATCGATAATGACCTGGGATATTTTCAGTTCTTTTCGCTTGCTGTATGTTGTATTCGTTTTGACTTTATTTTGTCCTTTACTCTACAGAACTTGATTTTATGCATGCCCTTCACACTTTAATTTTAATCGCCGGAAAAAAATAAATATCATAATATAAAGTTTCAAGTAAAATAAAAACAAAAATCTTAATCTAAGGTTGAAGTTAACAGAAGTACAGTGAAGTGCCAAGAAGTACGAGAAGTACAGAAGTTCGCTTTTCCTCCCTTGACTCGCACTCACAAGGAAAAGACAGAAATATATGAGAAGAAGTAAATATAGCGTACATATTATAGATGCAGTATTTCTACGAAATATGAGGAAGTTATATAATATCAATTCAATATTATAGTGTTCATATTTTCAATTACTTTTGAATATTCACTTCAACAAGTATTTTTAAGTTTACAATATGCTCGTAAGAATAATGTGTATTCATTGTTTTTCATAATTTCAACTATGAAAAAACTTCCTGCGTGTTGCTTTTATGTAAAAACAGATTCACAAATCCATTTAAATCTCATTACTACTCTACTTGTTTCAAAGCTTATATTCACTGATCTATACTTCAGGAATTTTCTCTACTCATTCTACCTCGGTGCCACCTGACAAAAATTTTATAGTATAAACTCCTAACCTTATGTGTGCCAGACAATAGATTTTCCACACACCTATGATCAAAAGACACCCTGTATGAACTAATCTAAAGCTTTCTCTTTATCGTTTTTCGTCGACTTCTACATGAGATGAGCCCTACATTGAAGTCACTTCATATAGCCGATACATTGCTCTGTTGCTGAAATGTTCTCATCTTTATTAGGTGACGAAACTTTATGAATATAGGGAAAACCTAAAGTTTGTTTTTATTCTATACCATTGAAATAGCCACATCAGCAGTAGGATTGATTTTGAACTAACATTTTGTAATGTATAACATTAGTGCCGACCCGACAAGAATTTACAACTGCTGGCTAAAACTTTCTATTCATAAAAATATATGGAAGCTTTAGTTTTCATTCAATAGAGACAGATTATCGGATTCAAAATGAGTTCATCCTAATCTGGTTTAGTGAAAACTAGAACTATGATGTCTCATTAGTTTTCATAGAAAAAGAAATGAAATTTTGAGTTTGTTTATAGCGTATTGAACATGACTGATTGACGTATAAAAATAGTTACTGAATAAGGAGCAAAATGTTGTAATTACATCATTGAGTAAAATCGCAAGTTCGACCACAAATTCACATAAAATAGTCTTTAATTTCTTCTTTCTTTCATCATTCTACTATTCATGTATTTAGTGTAATAATAAAGAGATGGTTCACTCTTCTAATGTTTTACTCACCACGAATCAGAATTCAAAATAAATAAAGTGTTGTTATTATTATTGGAAAAATTCTTACTACCTACATCGTTTGCCTATTTTTTTCCTGATGACTTCTTATCTGTATTTTACGATATGACAGCATTTATATTCTCTATTTGCTCTAGCTCCTTTTTTCATGCGTCTCAAAACGCGTAATAATACGAACTCTATTAAAAAGAACTACATATAGAAACACTGAAATATTCAGTAAGCGAGTAGGCGATGGAGTGGTGACAAAACAAAATAAATTCTTATCTCTATAAAATTTAATTTTCTGTGATGTCAAGTGATGAATTTCTTTTAAAAAAATCGATGCTGACTGTAACTAGAAGACGAGACATTAAGCCTCTGCTCGATCTTTCGATTATTCTATTTCAACAGACTAGAATTCTATTTGTTAAAATATTTTGCATCTATTTTAAATTGAGATAAAAATCAAATCAATAAACTCATACCGCTATTCGGCACTTGATTTTATCACTCACTGAAAATAAGAGAAAGAAGAAATTTAGCTTACGGATTTGAATTTTTACTTCAAAAATATTCACATGGTTATGAAAATAAAGTAAAAACAGATTTATGATACAATACATGTATAGCAATTTAGAAGTATCCTGAAATTTTTTCTTGTTAAATTCACAAAATTAAAGCATGTATAAATAGTGGCTGAAAGAAGTCAAGCAGAATCGTTCAAAAATATCAATACTAAATCAAAAAATCAAAATATACACATTTTCAGATAGCAAGTACTGTCAAGTGTAAGAAAAAGAAATTCAACGATAGCGAACTTTTCTTAATCTTAAAAGTCATAAAAACGATGCACCTATTTTTTTTAAATGTGACTTATTCAATAATATCCTACGACTACTATGAGAATGCGAAGCAAAATGCCTGTAATTCATGTTACTAATTTTTTACTCTAATTCGAAGATGTTGATTTTTTCTCATCATCTCTTTTTTTATTTTGCAAGTAGAATAGCTAAGCCAATTCACTTTGAATAATCATGTTTTTTAAAATGTGATTCTCTAATTATAACTATGCCTCTCTCTGTTTTGATAGTATATTGATTTTATTAACTTATTATTCAAATATTCTTGAAAAGCAGTAGTCCTCATCTCTGATGATGTAATTAAACAAATGAATGTAAAAATGCTTGTAAACATATCAGAATCTAAATTAGCACCAACTAATAAAAAACACTTGATTACAATAGATGATGATAGTAAGAAAAGAAGTTTTCATGTGGAACTTTGGTTGCCATTGTAATGATCTTTGTCGAAGTCAGTTTCAATTGATTGTTGTGACAACATTACTTCTTTTTTAATCAATAATTGTTGGATATGGATCGGGGTCTGTGGCACATCACCAACATCAACCATAATTTTAATAAATATTGTATCATCGCGATCATATGGATGAGATTTTTGTTGGATCATCGCCAATAAAAACAATTTAGCTGTACTACTAGAAATATTAATTTCTGAGTTTAGTCTTTGCAAACTATTCGATTTAACATTTATGTGATTTTGCAATTCAAGAGAAGCTTTAAAATCGTATCATTTGTTAGTCTATACATTTGATCAAAAAACAGTGACATAAGTGTACGTCTAGCAGTTGCGTTGCATGCTCATTTAATTAAAGTTGAGCTAGTTTCTTGTAGTCAGTTGGTGATGAATAAAACGGAGGCGAATAAATTGATTCATTCAATGTATATTTTGAAATGAAAACAAGTTATCGTTCTTCAAATCGAGTCTGGCATTCAATATTTTTCACTGATGGGATATTTTACTTTTGCTACCTAGTTACCATTCCATAAATTCTACAACAGAAATAAAATAAATATGATGCAAAATGTTCATACTCAGTAAACGAGCAAACGGTGACTTTGAACACAGATTTCGAGAAAGAACTCTGCCAACGAAAAAGCACTTTGCTCTATTCTGATTTTCATCTCGACACCACTATGATATGAAACACAGTTGCACGATTAGCTACCAATATACTTCGATCTAAATTAAGGATGTTTTCCTATTTGTTTTGGTAATAAATTTAAAATTATTATCTAGAAGTAAAGAATCTAACCCACTCATTTTTTTCAAGAAATCATTGAATCTTTCTCAGCAAAACACACAGAGTTACTTCGTAATCCTTAAACAAAACCATTTCTTAAACATAATGAATATATTTGAAAGATCGATCGGGCATTATCTTTAAACAAAACAAAAAGGTTTTTGAATAGTTGTGCTTGTTCAGGCTTATTGCTCCATAGTTATGTTTAACAAATAAATCAATAATAAGGGAAACAGAATTATTTAATTGTAAGCATGTACGTGAAGCCAATCGTTTTGTGTTAATCGATGTAATAAATCTAATGTTCGGATTAATAGAGCCTGGGGCATAAATAGGGGGGGGCGTAACGCCCCCTGCTTTCGAAAATTAATAGGGAAAGAGCTGTTTACGCTCCCCTGCCTCCAAAAGTTTCGTTTTTTAGGTCAGGAAAACAGAAAAATTAGAGTTACGCCCCCCCCCTCAGAGACCTGGCTTACGCCCCTGCCCATACCTACACCCACACCCTTATAAGTTTATTAGCTATCAAAAAGAATTCACATTATTCATTATAATTATCAGTTATAATTTTGGAAATGTTTTAGTATATTTCGGATGCGTCTTAGTTCAACTAAGTTAATTGATTCTGATAAATTTAATAACTTAATGACTTTGTTAAAACAATTCTTAGCAAGAATTTTTTCTCCATAATATATATAAATATATCCAAGCATTTCATAGTTATCAGACATTGAAGAATGTTTCGTGTAAAATGATGAATTTTTAGCTGTTTCAATAGATCTATCATAATAGTAATAAGCCATATCGTATTGTTCTGACATCAAATAACAAAATCCTAATTGATTGTTTAAATGAATCATTTCCGATTTTCTATCGTCAATATGATTATTTTGGTCTTCTTGAATTTTTAATGCTTGTTCAAAATATTCCATAGCTGATTCATACATTTCTTTTTGGCCATAACAATGAGCCATGGTTATACATAAACGATAAATAAGAGAAATATTTTCGATTTCTATACTTCGATATATTCCAAATGCAATTAAACAATGATCAACCGATGAATTCCAATCTTGTATACTACAAAAACAAAAGCCAATTTGAGCATGTACATCAGCTAGTTTAACAAAATCTTCTTGTTTATCTAATTGCTCTTGTATAATTTGAAAATATTCAATAGCACTAGAAAAATCTTCTAGTTTTTGATAGCAAACACCAAGTTGATAATAGAATTCAATTATTTTCGAATTATTATATGGATTAATATCTATTGCTTTTTTATAAAAACTAATAGCCATAGTTTCGCCATGAGATATTTCTTGATAACAAAAGCCAAGTTCAGAATACAGATCGAAGACTAATTTTGTACTCAAACAATCTAGGAATTTCAAACTACTTTGATAATGTTCTATAGATGAATTCCAATCTTGTTGACTTTTATAGATTTTACCAATTCTCCAATGTATATCAGCTATCTTTTTTTCTTCGTCAGTGTTGGGCTCAATAATTTTGTTATATAATTCTAAAGCGTTTTCATAGAACTTCAGAGACAAATGAGACATTGATTTTTGTTCATAACATTTACCGATGCGAACATATGAATCGGCAATATATGATTTATCATCAATATTTAAAGCTTGTTGAATAGTCAACATTTTTTGAAAATAACCAAGAGCTAAATCATAGCTTTGATTTTTTTGATAAAACCATCCTAATTGAAAATTCATATCCATTGCTTGTACTTTATTATGGTTGGAGTGACTAGTTTCTTCTTGGATTTTTAAAGCTATTTGAAAATGTTCTATAAATAACTCCATATTTTGTTGCATGTTATAGCAACAACCAATTTTATAATTGAATTCAACAATATTTATTGATACATCTTCATCCGGATCTGTTTGTAATATAGCTAAACCTTTTTGATAACAATCCATGGCTAAATCATACTGTTTATTTTTAAAATAAAAATTTCCAGCATGTTCGTACATGTAAATACTTTCGTCAGATTCCATAACATTGATGTTTGCTGTTTTCTCTATTTCAACACATTTTATATAATGAATAAGAGCTAAATCATAATCGTCTAAAGCAACAAAACAATTTGCAATTGTATAATTAAAATCAAATATTTCTTGTTGATATTCATTATTATTCGATTTTTCAATTAACTTCAATCCTTCAAATTGATTTTCCATGGCTAAATTGTATTCATTTAATTTGTAGTATAATTGGCCAATGTCTTCATAACATCCCAACGCTATTTCAATGATATGACTTGTTAAAAACTGATTGTCAAGATTTTTTATTTTATATAAAGTTTTTTCGTATTGGCTGATAGCTAAGTGATAATTTTGAGTTCTTTCATAAAGTCCTCCTATTCGTGTATTTAGAAAAAATAGAACTCGATATTTATCATTACTATCCGGTATGTTTTCAATGTCAGTTAACATTCGTCGAAATTGTTCAACACATAAAGAAAGTTGTTTTGCTTTTGTATATATCAATAAGATCAAGATTATAATTTGATGGAAATCATTAAAATTAAAATAAGTCCCATTGTATAAATATTTATCAGAAAATTCCGATAAAATTTTCATATTGTGTTCAACATTCTTATCGTATTGTTCAACAATTAGTTGCGTCATAGTCGATATATATTGCGAACGTGCATTTTTCATAATTTCATAATTATTATATTCTACGGATTTTCTAACTAATTTTTCATAATATTCTGCAGCCAAGCTATAGTTTTGTTCTTGATAAAAAATGTCGCCCATCAGTAAATATGACAATTCAATTCTCTTGACATCTAATGATTTTTCACTAATTGCTAATGATAGATTAGCATTTTGAATAGCTAAATTATATTGTTTTAATTTAAGATAGCACAATGCGGTACGATTGTATACCATATCGATATCTGCATTGTCATTGTTAACCTTTTGATTATTCAAGATTTCTAAACAATAATAAATTGATAAATCATATTTTTCAATTGAGTAATACATTTCAGCAAGATTATCACATATTCGCAAACGCAATGGATGAGAATTGGAATAAATATTCTTTTGAAATAATAAAGATTGCTCATAATGTTCAATAGACATATTCGTATGTGATTGCTTTTTATAGATTTTAGCAAGTGTACAATGCGTTTCACTAAGTGCGATACTATTCTTTGTTTCTGTAAAATTTTCTAACGATTTTCGACAATGATTTAAAGCTTCAGAATAATTGCCTTGTTTTAAATAACATTTACCAAGGCATAAATGAATTGGACCAAGTAGTTGAGCATTAGAATCTGTTGGTAGATTTTGCAATGCTTCTTGAATATAATTAAATGCTAATTCAGTTTCTTTCTTGGCTAGACAAATTAAACTCAATCTTAATAAACTAACTGCTATTGACACTGAATAATTATTGATAAAGTTTTTATGTATTTTATAAGATTCAAGAGCATATTTTAATGCTAAGTCATGTTGACCATTTTGGGCATAAGCATCCGCTAAATTTCCAGTAATAATATAAGTTTCATATTCATTTAATTGTTTATTATCATAATTAGAAAGACTATTTCTATATAGTTCTTCAAAATATTCAATCGCTTTTTTATTTGAACCAATCGTTAATAAAAATTTACCAAAAAATGAATAAGCATTTATATTCGAAAGAATGTTATCAATTAAATTATCTTGTAAATATTCTCTTTCTATTTGAAAATAATCACTTTTTAGATACTCAATATTATTATCAATACCAATCATTGATACAATATATTTATCATCTTTATATTGAACATTTTGTATTTGAAATATAGCACCAAGATCAAATAAAACTTCATCTTCCGAAGGATTAACACTCATTCGTGCTATATAACCATAAATAATATTTTTTAGATCAGTCTCAATTTTTATTTCGAAAATAACATTTGCACCAAGGAACTATTCATAAAGACCGTTCAAATAAAAGTCGCAGTTTCGGACTACCTCCCTACTCCTTCCTATTCAGATCCCGCCCCAAACACCTACTGAACGTCCAGCTTAATCTTGCCATAGCCTAAACGATTTTCAGATCCGAGACAAAAACTAACCGAATAACAAATTAACAAAACAATCTATCACCAAACTTAAATTGATCGTCTCATAAATATTAGGGTGTGAGCAGTACTTTTCCTTCGTTAAATAGATCAAAACTAGAATTGAATACAAATGTATTTCGTAAAATACATGTTACACACATGCATCGAACTCTGGCGAACAGTAAACGCGAAAAATATTTAAAAGAAAATTTCTAATGCCAAAAATCCTTGAAAATCGAACGATGTCCATGTGCCAATAGCCGCTATGGTTACTTAATATTCAATGATTTCAACATACAGGTTCCTATCCAACTCTAATCATTGTAAAAATTATTTTTGAAGCAACCGAAGCATTGAAACATATTTCGTTTTTTTTCGGAAAAAAAGTTGAAATATTTATACTAGATCTGCCTGTGTGAAAAAAATTGGTGGTTTACCACTAAAGTGATTCTGTTAGCCGGTTCGCCGATGATCTTCGACAATTAGTTGCTCCAAATAATCAATTTTTCTTATTTTAAATGTATTTTTCCTGTCCCCTTTACCTGGACGTTCTTTATATATGAACTTGAAACATTTCGGCTACATCTCGTTTAAACGTAGTCGATAAAAATCCATTTGTTGACACGTATCTACCAACAGATTGTTTTATTTGATCAATGATTTTAATTGGTAATGTTAAACCACGGTAAACTAATATTGCTTCAAGTGACTCTTGATACGTTTGAAAATTATCATCGAATAATAATTTTAAATTTTTACAAAGATCTTTAAGAAAATATCTTAAGCGAAACAACGCTTCAATATCTTCAGTGCGTAAAGCTTTATTAATAAAACGGTATAGAAAAGAATCTTTTGTATACCAATGTATAGCTTCAGATGATTTATATGTTTGTGCAAATATATCAATGTCTTCGAGATATTTTTTATTTAATCGATAATAAGATCGACAATAATCAATTAGTTGCTGTTTACATTGTTCAGTTTCTGTGTGCATAGTCATTAATGTGTCACGAAATAGTTGATACCATAAATAGTTGTTTGATTCATGTTCTAAATCCCGTATCGGTTTATCATTATGATTAAATAGATTGAATATTGACAAATGTTTTAATATTAAATGAATTTGTTGTTTTACAATAGTAAACAAAGATTCGTATTCTGCATAAATACCAATGAGCTTCGAATATTTTTTTTCATCAATCAAATCTTGATATAATGAGACATTCAAACAAAATATATAAATTGTGTCAATCTTCTCATTATCATGAATTTGAAATAATGCTTCGCGAGAATATCGACCAGCAGTAATTAATATTATTTTTTCATTTCTAATGTTGTCTATAGTTGAAGTCATTTCGTCGAATGAATGACAAATTTTAACGTGATCATGTGCTTGTTCTAAAGTAATTTTTATTTCGTCATCGATAGTATCATCAAACCACACTATTGTTAGATCTTCATCTGTATTAAATGTAAAAATATCTTTCGATTCATTAATTTCTTCTTGTTTTATTGAACGCTTCATGATTAGATGCTGATCTCTAAATAATTATACAAAATAATGAATAGTATAAATATGGGACAAAACTGATCGATGATTATACTAGGTTTGAGTAAATTATAAAGAAATTGAAATTATAATATCTTCACTGAAATCACAATAATTAAACACATCTCTTAATGACGCTGCTACACCTTATGAAGAGTAAGGGTGATTTTCGTCGACATTCGGTATCACAACATGTAAATTTAGTTGCTGATGATTAAGTTGCGTTGAGGAGGCATTTCATTGGTTAGTTTTTTCCAACAACATTTTTTCGTTCTTGTTTTCTTTTTCTTCTTAGATGATTCGTTTTACTGCTGACTGTCATTACGTCATCGCATCGCTGTAACAATTTCATCTGACATTCAACAATCTCTTCTACAGAAGTTTTATAGACAGTCTTCTCCTATTCAAGAGAGATGTTGACACCTTTACGCCTGGGTGGATTTTTTTCTTTCGGTTATATTTTTATTAGGGCGAAGGTGAGCATCTGCGATCACTAAGTCATTCATTGGACATGTTTAGTTTTAGCGAAAACGTCGGAGTTGACGTTACAAGGCAACTGAATTTTAAAATCAATGCTAACATTTAATTATATACCATGGAAATGGTTATGTTTATTGAAAACTGTTCTATTGTAGATTACACAATTCTCTTCGGTCTATGGCACAAGGAAATTTAATATAAAGGTAATTTTTCAACTTCATATGAAATATTTAGAATTTTTTTATGTGTATTGTTTGAATCTTTTTGTATTATGAGTACTATTAAGACGCCGCGTCTTTCTTTTACCCTTTTCAAGCCAGTTAATTCTATCCGACTTGAATAATTTTAGCTATCATGTTAGCAGGGTGTGAGTGTGAGAGATTCATCAGTTTTTTCTCACACAATGGTTTCCTTTAGAATTCATTCAACCATGAAGTCTAGTTGCCTTTTATTCGTGAGTTAACAATAAATGGGCCATTAGAGTGTATGAGGAAATGCTTACTGATTATGTTTTCTATGTAGCAGTGGACCGTAATTTAGTTTTTTTAATGTGTAACGTTGTTGTTTTGTCTTTGCTATAGAATTGATTACGGTATTCTACTAGACTTATCTATGGAAAGATATTTAATATAGTATTGAATTTTTGTTTGATCGTTCGTTTGATAAAATGTAGTAAATTTATTTTGTAATCATTCAAACTTTAATAAAACAAAATAGAAGCACGTACATAGTTAATTTTTTTCAGTTTGTTCCGTTCAGTTAGAATTTGTCGTAGTCGTTGAATAAATGAAGAGTTCATTGAACCTTTTATAATGCCAATCCGCGTTTACTAACACGGAGAATACTATGTGTTGAGGGGATTCAAGCACCATTGTTGTATTATATTCACACTGTTTCGATCGTTTACAATGAGTTTCATGCTGCGAATCGATATTGTTATTCGATATCTGATCGATTCTTCACTTGAAAGATTAATCGAATCGGATTTAACGTGTATAATCATTGATAGAACTGTTCATCAATGTTGATTGATTTTAGCCCATTGATGCATTGTGTCGAAATCGACGCGCACTGCTGTTCCCAAATATAACTTAGGTATAGTGATCATGAATTGGTTTAATAAGAATAATACTGATTCGTAGGATATCGAAATGCCTTTTATGCTCTATGAGTAAAATCTTTTCAAGAATTTTCAAAAGTAATCAAATAAGAAAGGCACTTATTGCTGAACACAATTAATCGATTTTATAGACCGTTCGCTTGTCTTCATCTTTCAGCAAGAAAATAAGGGTTTACAAAGAAGTTTTCTAATTAATCGATGTAGACGAGTTCGAATCGTTAGATTTTCTCATTCTATTTTCAATACATTGATTTTCAGCTAAGAGATTGCATCGTAGTTCAGCATCCACATCTTGTTTGTGACTATATCACTACGAAAAAAATTGATCACGCCGCACCAAATATACTTTTTGAATATAAACCTGATTAATTAAATGGTGAACGAAGATTTGTCGATATGTAGTTAGAAAGCATTTCGTGATTTAATCTCTTAGAGCGTTGATTATAGTCGATAGGGAGAGGCCGCTTTGGAATACATTTTTTAAAATCATCTTTGGGCTCGTTAGTTGGCGACAGGGCTCGACGAGGGAATAACTAAATAAACGTAAAATCTAGTAAGAATAAGTCAGTTTTTTTTCTAATTTACTTAGTCAGTAATTGTATTCGTAGATAACGTTACTTGTCTATTGTTGCTCTTATTTTATTAGCAATGAGTCTATTTTCTATTGTTGTCAAAATGCAGAATTTGTCTGGTAACGACTAAATATTTCGACATAAATCATTCTTATTCGGGTGAGCATTTCATTCCTTACTTCAGTTTAAAAAAATATGAAAGTATAAGGATAAGTTCATCAGTAAATGAGACCCATCTATTCATCGAGTGATGTATGAGCTACTTTTGTCGTTGTGCAAGTCAGTATGACTTCTTTTTTTTTTGTTCTTTACACATGACAAATACTTCAGATAAACGAGCATACGCGCATTTTTCTCTACGATAATAGAGCCCATTAGAAACAAAAGGCTGCCTTTTATTTTTTGAGTTATAATCTTATTCTTTGTTCTCGGTGAGTAAAAAAAGATGTTGCTAGATGTAATTCCTAATCGTCGTCACAAATTAAATATTTATTCATGTTCCTTAAACTCTTTTGAATTAATATTTTTACAAATCTAATCCATTGGGAATGATTCTGAAAATGAAAAATAACTAGATTTTCAATAGTATTCGGAGGATTGCAAATCTATCTGTAAAATTCTATAACTAAAATGGATTAGAACTAGATGAATCAATATATCAACTGTTGCTCTATTCAACTAAGTATTATTTGGAAAGACTGCAATGATTTACTCGACAAGAATCATAAATTTAACTTTTGCTAAAAAGATATGTTAGAAATTCACTAAATTTTTAGTCCAATTGGGGAATAAAACGGGTAAAAAGTAGACAATTTTATAGGAAAACGCTTTTCTTCCCATCTACTCCTTGAAATTGATTCCCTTTCTTATTAATGTACAAAATAAATCAATTGAGTACTGGACAGCGAGATGGAGAAATGAATGCTCTACTAAACCATATAGAAGTTAAACATTTTCGAGTTTTCGTAGAAATACAGCAAACTGAATCATGCTGCCTGCCATATGAATCTTCTGGACACCACAGTTTATATGACTCGCTCCTCATATTACAATCTACAATAAAGTTTTCGACTCTTTTTTACATATTCATATTACTTTGAATAAATAAGGATTAGAAATACTTTTTATCAGAATCTTATTTCATATAGGCGGTCTTCCTTTTCGTAGTGAACAAATCTTTGCCTTTTTTTTAGAAAATGAGTGAGAAAGAACGTGCTGTAATTGCTAGAACACATGAAGCATTCGGAACGTGTTTAACAGCCGAAAAATTAAAAGAGGACTTCAACAAATTAGGTATCCTGCCTGGCATGAATCTATTGGTTCATTGTTCATTGTCGAAAATCGGATGGATTTGTGGTGGATCTGTTACTCTTATACAAGTTTTACTAGATTTATTAGGTCCCGAAGGAACTCTTATAATGCCGTCTCATACTAGTGATAATTCCAACCCTAAATATTGGCAAAATCCACCCGTACCATCAGAATGGTTTGATACTATTCGTCAATCAATGCCAATGTATCAATCTGATAGAACACCTACATTGTATATGGGAAAACTAGCTGAAACATTTCGAAAATGGCCTGGAGTTTTACGAAGTGAGCACCCACAACATTCGATGATTGCTTTTGGTAAAAATGCTAAATTAATTATTGATAAACATATTGATTCCTGCAGTGAACAATCGCCATTGGCTCGTTTATATGATTTAAATGATAATGGATATGTTTTATTGTTAGGCGTCGAATATGAAAATAATACTTCGCTACATTTATCTGAATACCGTTTTCAAACCAATAATAATATTGAAAAAACTTTTATCAGTGGTGCATCAATAGAAAATCCCGAAACAAAAAAACGTCAATGGATTGAATGGAACGATTATGACTATGATTCAAACGATTTTAATGATATTGGACGTGCATTCGATTCTATAGAAGGAAACACAACAATTGGATCTGTTGGTTTGGCGAAAGCTCGATTAATGAAGCAATATTTATTGATCGATTTTGCTACTGATTGGATGAATAAAAATAGAATGAAAAAAAACACAAGCTAATTAATCACTTTATGCTTTTATTTTCTATGATATTCATTTCAATTTTCTAGAAAATGTTTTATCTTTCTTGTTAGTGCTATTGAATTTCTTTATTTCTATTCATTTGATCGGTATACTAACATTTTATTGCAATAATTACAAGGAGACTGTCAATTTCTATACTTCAACATACAGGATAAACCATAAGTCAGGTGTCACCATTTGTTTTCGATTTCTCTTTTTTTATAGATTGTCGGGTAAATCTCATGTCTATACCAGATGCATACTAGATGGCATAAGAGAAAGATGCAGCGATGAAACAACATCTGCATATAGTAGTTTATTCAGAAGTGTGCAAATGCAGGATAACCAAATTTGTACGTAGAAGAATAAATTAATCTTCCATCTTATGATAAGGAAATTTTAGTGAACAGCTTCGTACTAAAAATACTTCACGAAGGCTTACTTTGGTGCGTGCCATTTCGTTTTCCTGTGACTCTAATAAAATTTTGCTGGAGCTCAGATGTGTTTTCTTATTTTTCATTATTCTGCATTTATACACTCTTGGAGAAATTACTATATCTAGATGCTACTTTATCGATGCATCTTTCATGTATATCATCTATAGTATATATGACATAAATATGAGACAATCTATAGGCACGAAATCGAGAAAAAAACTGTGTTTTTTGAGTTATGGCCAACGAGGGGGGGGCATACTACTTTTGGATTTTGAAGTACATTAAAGTATCTCAAAGTACGAAGCAAATTACCTTAAAGTACATGAAGTAGTATGAAGTAACATGTTTCCCCTTGCTTATTGTTCACTCATTATATTTCAATCAACGATCATGTTGAATAAAATATCGAGTAAAACAAGATAATTTAATACTCTGAGATTACCTAAATCAATACTGATCATAAAGGATTAATTATCAAGGACGATGTCATCGAAGCGATAAACCTAAATGCCAAAAAAAAACTATATAGAGTAGATTTGAGTAAATACAGAACGAGTAAAAATAAGAATGACGAAGAAAGTGGTAGTAAATAAAGAGCTTCCAACAAATACACTCCGTCATGAGATGACACAGCAAAAATCTACTATATCAGTGTACGCCACATAAATTTTTTTTCTTCACAATGTCTACACCAACGTTTCCTGCCAAAACAACTGCGCTCGAAGTTGTCAAAGGACTTCGTGCAAAACTAGATGGAAAAGTCGTACTTGTTACGGGTGCTACATCAGGTAAACAAGTAACATAAAAAAAGTATTTTTTCATAAAAAAAATATTTCTTTGTTTCAAGGTATTGGTGTTGAAACAGCTCGTGCATTGGCATCTGCAAATGCACATGTAATTATAACAGCGCGAGATATGAATAAAGGTGCACAAGTTATTGCAGATATTAGAAAAACAACAGGTAACAATAAAGTCGAAGTGATGGAAATGGATCTTACTTCACTCCAATCGGTTAGAAAATTTGTTTCTCAATTTCAAGCACGTGGATTACCAATAAATATTCTTATTTGTAAGTCAAATTTATTGTTATTCTTGTTTGCTGTGATCATTTATTTCGATTGATATATCTATACAGGCAATGCAGGAATTATGGCAACTCCGTACTCAAAGACAGTTGATGGCTTTGAATCACAATTTGGCGTCAATCATCTAGCTCATTTTCTTCTTACTACTAGCCTTTTACCAGAACTAAAAGCAGGTAAACCATCACGTGTAGTTGTTGTTAGCTCATTAGCTAATAAACGTGGTGGTATAAATTGGGATGATATTAACTGGGAGAAAAAATATGACAAATGGCTTGCCTATGCTCAGAGTAAAACGGCAAATATTCTATTTGCTAAACAATTGAATAAATTATATGAATCAGAAGGTATTCAAGCGTATTCTTTACATCCGGGTGGAATTCTAACGAATTTACAAGTGCACGTACCAATCGAAGAACAACGTGCAATGGGATGGTTTAAGGAAGATGGTACACCCCATGATCTATTCAAAACCGTAGAGCAAGGAGCATCAACAAGTGTCTACGCTGCTTTGGCACCTGCTCTTGATAAGCACGGTGGAGAATATCTTGAAGATTGTGCAATAAGTGTAGGAATACATTCTGATCAAATGTATTTCGGTTTGGGATTGCATGCAGTTGATATGGAAGCAGCTGAACGTTTATGGAAATTAAGCGAACAAATGGTAGCAGCCAAATAGAAGAATGGCTTAAAAGCATAACTTAGTTTTAGAGCTCTCTATTAACATTATAGAAAATAAACCTATGACATTAAAATTTTGCATCAACACTCTATGTATAGTGAGAAAATATTTCTCGTTTGATAAAGAGTAGCAATCCTTCCTTATACGCCTTGTAACTATTATTTTACGTCTCTATTCAATAAAGTATTCCGTTGAACTCGTAACGCTATGAGAATGTTGAAAGCTTATCTTCAAGTTGTATCTAGCGAAAATCTGATGCAATGTGAATTCTTTTTTTAAGCCAAGAAATTTAAGAAAAAAATGACTAATCAATAGTTTCAATGCAAGTCATCCTGTTTGACTCTTGCTTTCTAATCAATGCGCCTTTCCCGCGACCATAGTTTCCTTCGAGATTCATCCCATGCAAAACAAAATTGAAAAATACATTTTTAAGCGTTTTTGATATTGATAAAGTGAAATAAATTAACTCTACTCACAATTTTTCACTTTTTATAATACTTATTTTGACTTTTCTAACTTACAACAGTATTTTATAGTACTGATGAAAGTGCTAAAAGTATATTGTCTACTAGGGAATCACCGTAGTGTGTTACACACTATCAGGGTATGTAAGAAACAATATTTAAGATAAAAAATTATCTAACGAGAATCTTCAATATTGAATAGAGAATGTCACAGAGAATATTGGGTGGCCGTTACATAACTCTTAATGCAAATTCAATAATAGTCCAAGCCAATCATCGGATTGATAACAGGTGAAGAAAGCTAATTTTTACTAATTTTCAATGTATTAAAAAGTGCTTTTCGCTTACAGGTATATACTGATAGTCACTTCTATAAAGATTCATTGATAAGTACTTTTTACATGAGATAAGAAAATCAGAAGAGCACTCATTAGTAACTATGTTCGATCAAAAATTTCGCATGGTATGTGAGTACAATTCAAGGGAAGATACACACCCACACCGTCAATACCGAACGATGATGTTCCACTTTGGTTATCACCGTTAGCCTATATCAAACAGGTACCGTGACGTATTGTTTAGAAAACTTGAACAACTGTTCGGAGTGATTATCAAAGTTAAACGGTGAATCTGATAGGAATAAAACGAATTTACAACAAATAGCGTATCGAGCCAGTGACGTGCCTTTAAACGAAAGTAAATGTCTTGCATCGAACTTCTCTTCTCGTTGCCTACTCAACATGTTTGATTAGAAATCAAGTAAGCGGAAATAATTTTTCATTTCAAATTGTCTAATTTTAAGTCAGTAGTATATTTAATTATTACCATCATGAACTCTTTTGAATTTTGCATAAAGTTTGTTGTCCTGATATTCTTCCCACAGATCGTTTCCTTTGTCTATAAAATATCCATTACGATGATGATAGCGATAAGGCGCATCCCAATAGCCATTTCGATTGCCAGCGATGAGAAACAGTTCTTGTGGCTTGTCAGCATAAGACCAGTGAACATCTGTACTATTCTTATAAAAATAAACGAACATGTTTCTTGATGGATCAGCAATTTTAACATCTCCTGGAATAAGTTTCTCACAGTTTGATTCTACCTTTTTTGTATCGATACATTTTAATTGAATGATTTTTGCATCATGCATAATATTCTTTACAACATATCCACTGTATGGATAGAAGATAACTTCTTGTTCGGCGGGAAACTCAGAATATTTTGAAATATCAGTACGATACGTCCAATCGTCTTCTGATGCTTCGATTTCAAACATATAATTACCAAAACCATGTGCTACATCTTTGTCTCTTGATGTACACGTAAACGTTGGCCACAAGAACTGTAGACCTTCTTTATATTCGTGTTTAACATGTTCACTTGTTAGACTTAAACCACGATAGACTTTTAAAGATTCTTTTTGATTATTATTTCGAATGGCCGTTCTTAGACTATTGATGAATTGTACATTGCTTTTCAATATATCATAGTCATCATTAAGGAGAGCTGTGTTAATAACATGGTAATATTGTCCATCTTCTTTTGTCCATGTAAAAAACACTTCGTCTGCTGGATCGGATTTAACATCGATGCCAATTATTTCACGATAACATGGACGGCGAAAAGCAGGTAAAAGAAAGCGGGATGTTGCGCACGAAAACTTGTCGACGTTACGTGTTGATGTTGACATTTTGGAACCGTTAGGATTTATTTCGCGATTAAATAGTCAATATCAATATATATTATTTCACTCTGAAACGTTAATCAGTGAAATAGATGCTTATTAATCATCTGGAAACACTTCAGGTGTCATACGATTGGGTGAAAGTGTCAATATGAAAGAGTTTCAGAGGTGGCTCGTATATCTTAGGCAATTTCTGTTTCTCATCAGATGTAACTTCGCGTGATCGCACCTCGTCTGGAGTGATTGCATGAAAACAAAGATTTCATTCACACATATTCACTCAAAACGCAAGCTGTTGAGAATATTATACTTGCGGAAGTACTTAATTTTCTCAGTTCTACAGATTTCTGAACTGTGCGCAAAGTAAACGATGAGAATGTTGAATACTGCTTTCATTCTATACATCGTCTTATTTTTTTCGATCTAATGCACAATAATAAACGACGTCAAGCATCTGCGCTATGTTTTCCAGAAGTGAAGAAAAAAGAAGTTGATGCATGCAACCTTATCTTGTTCTTATAAATTGCTCCACGGAGATGGAATTTTATATCTTTTTGCTTTCCTGCGATCATAGTCTTATATTTTCCAAGTGCAATTTTAACTACTTTCTTTAGAAGTTGTAATCATGATTATAAGTGAAGAAAAGTTCAATATGCACATGCTGAATGGACTTTTCTCAGCAAATTTCTAGAGAGGAAGAGTAAAACAAGCAAGAGCGATAGCGTTATTTTGCTAATATTGAAGTACTCTAACAATTTTTTTATTTTTATTTTGTGTGTTCTCGCACGTCTATTTTATACGGTACGTTGGCTGCTTGTATCCATGGAGCCCAACAAATTGTTTTCTGCTTTCTTTTTTTGCCTTCGGGAAGTGTCTACAACGTCTATTTCGTTAATGGCCTCAACGCAGTAAAGATTCTTCGTTGCTTTTTGCGGCTACTTTTTTTCTGTTAGCATTATGATTTATCTCTCGTCTAGAGTCTTGCCGAAATATGTAACATTACAGATGTAGCTGAAAATTTTACTAATACGATTAGTTGGTCAAACAGAAAAAAAAACAATTTCAAATTTTTTATATTAATAAATGTTAAAATGATGGGACTTGAGTTGCACCGGTACAGAATATGAGTGTTTGTTTATTACTCAGTTCCTGGCATCCTCGAAAAGTAAAATAAGCTGACGCTCACTTTGTCAAATGCAGTTTGTAGCTAGTGAATAATGAATGACATTTGATGATGATGATTCTTGTGTATGCCTGTTGTATGAAAAACTAAAAATTGATTTTTAGTAAAATGCAATGATTTTTTTCACAATACACAAAAGAAACTTATTGGAGAAGAATGATTGAAAAAGCAGCATGAAAGTGAAGTACTTTTTGGTAAACGTGGCCAGAAGAAAGTAATATTGCTTCTTGTTTCAATTCATTTCAATCTGCTTGAAAAAGTACGTCTTGTGACAGATTTCAAAAGTAGGAAAACACACGGAAGGCAGCTCACTAAGGGTAACTTTCGTATCATGTGCAAATGTGTATATTATTCTGTTCTCATAGTTCTTGCATGTTTTTTTTTTCAGTTATCTATGACATCTATGTTGAGCTAAATAAAAACGATCCAGCACAGTTCTAATGGTAATCAGACTAGTAGCGAGTAGGATCAGAGAGAATTTATTTTCATGATCAGCAGTTCGTTTTTTGCATGATATAAAAATATTTAACTTCAGTGTTGTCCTTGATTTAGAAAACTTTTGTTTACTGCTGTAATACAAAAAGGAACATGAAATGAAAAATGTATGTAGAAGATACTTGTCAAGCAACTATAGTAGTAAACCGATAGAAAAAAATGTAGTATCGAACGTACGGAACGGCATTTTCATTTGATGGTAGTGGATGAGATCAAAAACATACGTCATTTAAACGCAAAGAAATTCAAAATAAAAACTAATTGAAACAGAATTTGGACTTTTCAAACAAAATATTGTATAATTATTGTATTAGTAGAGCTCTTTGTGGTGTTCCTTGCTGTATTATTGCACTCAAACGTGTACCTTTGGTTGCTAGAAGTGGTTTACAAAATTTCAATCTCATAGACATGTCAATATTATAATTGTAAATGTATTTTTCCACATAGTTATTAGTTTAAAACAAACTTTCACACACAGATACATACATATAAGTGAGGTGAGGTAAGAAATCACTAGAAAGTGTTACACAGAAAAGAAATTTAGAGAGAAAATAATACAGATCGAATACAAAAGAAACAACTGTACCAGAACATCCTCGAAGGAAACGTGCATCCACCTAGGAAGAAAAACTATTCAGCGCAGCCCCTTTGGGGCGAAAATGTGGAACTCACATATATTCTTGAAGCCTCGATCAACCAATAAAAATGCGTAAAATGAAAAATTTTTCAGACTACTGATTTTTCAAAATAATTGATCGTCACAGCAAAATCTCTCTCATTTATTTTTACATTTTCAAAAGATTATTGTATTTTGGTTGGCGCCCTTTTTTCTTTCGCATTTCTCCATTTTTTTTCGTTTTTTCTTCATTTTTTCTTCTAATTAGTAATTAGCTTTTAATGCCTGTAATGGGAGGGGGTGGGGAGCCGCAAAATTCTGCCCCTTAAACTTACACACTATATTCTTCAAAAATATACGTGAGTTCCATAAAAGCGAGACTCGCTCTATTGGAGACAAATCGGAGTACACTGTGAGCACGTACTCTAGGAGTCTCGCCACTTCTCCGGTGTTATTTTATGATCACGTCAGCCAGTTATGGTATTCTTTCAAGAAAACAATTTTTTATATTTAATCATCAGAAGCAAATAATATGGATGAAACAAAACCACAATGAAATATGTCAATTCGATTCAAACTTATGCTTTTTTGCATTTTGTTTCACATTACTCATGAAAATTAACTATTCTCTCTATTTGTATGATGGTCGTAGAAAAAGAAAACTAATTAAAATGTGAGCATGAGTTCATATAATAGAAATAATACAATATTTCATAAAGGCATATTGTTTAATAATTATCTCTCTTTTCATAGAACGCAAAGTCTACCTTTATATTTTGTATGCACGAAAAGCGCGGACTTAATTTAATTTAGCTTTTGAGTATCGGTCAATATCAAGGACTATGGTAACCTCTGATATACACTTGACCGAACAATTAGTTGTTGTCATGAGTGAAGGCTATTCAGTAGAAATTCCCTGGGGAGTCCCCGCAAAAGAACGAAATCTCTAGGGGCTCCCTGGGGATTCTTCTAGGGAGAGTTGAACTCGTAAGAGTTCAACAAAATACATTAATTACTATATGACTCATACAAACGATATGAGAGAGCGTTGAGATAAATGAAAAATAAGAAATAAAATTTTGTTCTGTTTTGACCAACAATTTGAAAAAGAAATTGAAATTATGATAAATTAGAAAATAGATTACTAAATCTAACTCATAGAAAAAGTTTTCATATCGCTCATATAACTTTTTTTGCATTTTGATTTTCGAAATTCTTTTTTCTTTTTTTCACTTTCTTTTGTGTCTATGTTTTCTATTTTTAATTAAATCTATTATTCCAATCTCAGCCTCTCTTCTACACAAAAATATTATAATTGAAAAAATAACAGAAAGAACAAAATGTAAAAATAATACGGTTCTCTCTCACTCGCTCTTGCCAATCTATACAATCCATTATTCATCATAAACACATCATCAAAAGATTCTTCACAATTGCATTTGTTTTCTCATATTCTCGACATTGTTATTTTCTGAGATGAATTTCTGTTATCTTGAAAAGAAATTGTTAATATTCAAGATTAGATTTTCTGCCGGTCATCAAATCAAACTTTAAATATTTATAAAAATCAAGCATTTTATAAAAGTTTGCAAATGCTTTTCGGCTATATTAGAATGAATTTTCTACAAAATAGAAATTCAAAACAATTACAGTATATTCTGTCGGACGCGTGCGGATAGGGTGAAAATGTGAGCGCGGATGCCCATGTAGTTCTATGTGTGGCCGAATGAAAGACATACTAATGATCATTAGGCCTATCTATGAGCAAAGTGTGCAAGGTGAAATTCTTTATTTCCACTGTTTTGGAAATGATTATAGGCAGTTAAAATGTTGACTTCTTGTGCAGAAGAATGCGATTGTAAATATCAGCTATGTTGATTCGATTTTGAGATTTCAATCAATTTTAATCAAGAAAGTTTTTCACTTCGTAAAACATACTCACGCTCGAACGAACTGTTTCTAAGCACATCTACATGAATTGACGGCTCTTTTCTGTTAGAGTTACGCACGAAGAATGTATGACAATGGCGTTACTACTGAAGTTTACATTTGTTGTTGCAAAGAAATAATGTGGCGGTGTTACTGGTAGCAGAAGAAGAAGAAAAAAGGCAAAAAAGTGAGCTGCGTGCTTTTTGTCACAAAATAAAGAATTTATCGCACACACCTTTAATTTGAAAAAGCTGCTAAAACAGAAAGTCTACAGTATAGATTATGACAACAACATAAGTAGAAGTGAATCCATCATAATGTGAGTACCCAATTAGAAATTCCAATGATTAAAGTAAATTAAAATTTCATAGTTGTATGAGCACAGCTGAAATTGATGATCAAACTTTTCTTCAAAAAAAAACCAACATTTTCTATGAGGGCTTCAAATTAAATGGTATGCTGACATACAATAAATAGACTTTGTCTGATGCAAAAATAAGACGAAACAAGTGTTCGCATGTATGAAAATGGGAGAAGGAGCACCTGCGTTCTCGCACCCATTCTCTTACATTCATATATTTCTGATTGGCCCAGAAGCAATTACTCGAAATAGTCTATTTTAAGAAAACTTTCATGGCTCTTAAACGAAATAAACTAGTGCTATCGGTCGTCTGCCTATCGAAAGATGACCAGTTTTCTATCGACTAATCAGTTTTGACGGCAAAATGAGAGAAAATTTTTTTCTATTGATTATCGTCCGGAGCGAACTTACAGAATTGGTTTACCCTTGACCAATACAAAGTTGGCATGTTTCGATATTTCCCTAGAATCCTTGTCTACTGAAAATGTGCAGTTCACTATCTAGTTTCTGTCGCGCGTTTTGTGGAGAACATACAAATGTCATAATGTGAGGTGCGAAAAGCAAAGTATTTTGGACTCTTGCGATACTGGTATGACAAACATTGATCTCGATTGTAATCTTGATGTTAATTTGTTTTTAAGATAAAAAATTAGCGTGTTTTGAAATAGTTTATACGATGCCCACGTGGATAATTAAAAGTGTAACACAAACGGGCCAAAATCGCGAAAAACAGGATGTATTAATATATAAAAATGGTTTTATCATTGAATTTCATGACATTGAAAAGTATGATCAATCATGTGATTCCTTCATAGAGTCGATTAAACGAAAGAAATTACCACAAGAAGTTTTAAAATCTTCAAACTACGCTGGAAGTGACTTCGATTATTGTTTTGAAGATCGTCAAGAGGAACTTGGCACATCATTACCATGGCGAAATTATGAATCCAGCGAAGTCAAACTGGAAAAATACAATCCAGAGTGGCCAAAACTATATCAACAAGAATATAACAATATATTGGTAATACAAGCAAAATTGCTGAGTTGTCCCTTGTCTTTCTCGCAATATATAAAATCAGGACTAGCGATCTTTCATTCAAAACTGAAACCCATGTAAACTCCAGAACATCTGATTCCCGGTTGGATAATCTGTTGGTCAAGCTTCTTTCCTTTCTTGCTTTTGTTGTCAGGGCTCTTCTATAATATCTATTATTTTTACGAACGGGTTTACCATAAAGGGTGGGAGATGGGAGAGATCTATATCCCCGAATTTCGAGAAACTCCAAAAAGGTATAATACCATCCAAATAAAACTCGTTCCCAAGTATAGTCACTCGCCGTATAAAAAAAACAAGATATAGATTACGTTTTTAAAGAATGGAATAGAATCCATCCAAGGAAATATTTATAAAGCAAGGTATCAATTAAGTTCATACAAGAGCTCAATCTTTCACTTTTCTTTTTATAGAACCTATCGAAGCTGCTTAATATTCCTTTTTAGGATGCTTATAGAAATGATTGGACACTCATAGGCGCAAGATTACTTCTAGATATGGAACACATTGGAAGTACAAGTGTCGAAGGAATGTGCGCAAAGCCGATCATCGATATGCTAATAATTGGACAAGATGGATTAAGAGGTGGACCATCAAAAATAATTATAACTTTAGAGAGAATGGGTTACGTGCATCAGTATCCATATATTACTCATTGCTTTTCAGAGTTCGCGGAGTTCGCGCATAGACCTGACTGTGTTAAGATGCCTCCTCGTGGCAAAGGAACAATTATGATAAAGGTAACGAATATGTCATAAGATAGAATTAAATTCAGTTCAGTTTTAAATTGAAGTAGAACATATTGAAATTGATATTTTTCTGAGTGAAGATCAAAATTCTGAAGTCAACTAGTTCGATTTGAAACTAAACTGGGCTTCAATCTATCCTAGAACAAATATTTGAATATCAGTATTTTAATATGTAATAGTCCTGAGTATTATTATCTTAGGAAGGATTCATTGTTCAAATAGTGGGTCGTATTGAAAACTTTATTGCATTTCGTGAATATCTTCGTACACATCCTGTTGCTCGCGATGAATATAGTGAAGCAAAGGAACGTTCACTTTCATACTCATCACGCACGGATTGCTATACGCATAATAAAAATGCAATTTTGAATGATTTACTTGATAAAGCTGTGCAATGGTATAGACAATTGAAGAATTATACTCATATTGGTATTTTTGATGAAGCAAGGAAGCGGTGGACATGCTGCAAAGCCTCCGAAGATGAATACAACGCATGTGGTGAAATATATAGTGTGCCCAAAGAGAACATGCAGTATGGTTGCTATAACCTTGGATCGAAAAAGGAAAACTATCATCCAGGCCGATATTTTTACATTGACTACAACTTTATCAAAGGCTGGTGGACGTGTTGTTCACAAGGTCTGTACTCAAATGGATGTGTGAACGTTATATTATTGGCTAATGATGACGGTAACAGCTAGATCAACTAATTGGCAACATAGGCAACTGTCAAATGTTTTTTCTTTCTTATTTAGCTTTGCTCAAAGATTACAACAACTGGAATGTGGACTGCGTTTGCCGATGGGTACGCTCTTTGATGAATATTCATAAAGATTATTCTGAAAATTTTCGTCAGCACAATATAAATGGCCAATTATTATTAACTGCCGTAGATGACGCAGTATTGCAAGATCTAGGAATATCAAGTGTACTTCATCGGAAGTTATTTCTGAAAGCCATCGAGGAATTGAAAGATCTGTTATTGTCAAATTCAAATAGTGGTGCAGGCTTGCTGCTAAAGAATAATGAGGTAAAAAAAGTTTACTATGATCAATTCGAAGGTGATTTTGCGCCATTGCTTGCGAGTCACGAGATGACAAATTCTATTGCACCATTATATCCGAATGTTTCTTCCTGTCAATTAACAAACGAAAAACATCGCTCTATCGTTTCTCGTATTTATAATTGGCTTGGTGCATTGCCTAGCCATTTTCAAGTCGATAAAATCGAATATGTTTTTAACAGCGGTCGTTATCGAATGTTTCTCGGACAATTAGAATCAGTTGAAAATCGCCAAAAACAACCCCCATTTCAACCAAAATTAAACGATGAAAACAGTTGCGAAGAACGTAAGCGTGTGTTGCAACGTCTTGAAACACTATATCAGTGTGTATCACACAATCGATCTGCTAGAATAGTTCGTATGTGGCATGGGTGCCGACGTAGTATACTACCTAATCTGCTGTCTGATGGCTTTGCTGCGTTAGGGACACTAGACGATGGTTGGTACGGTAAAGCTATGTACTTTACTTCATCAGCCAAATATGCCACACGTTACTGTAGTGAAACGGCTTGGTGCTTAATCATGTGCTACATAGTACTATTGAATCCGTTTCCAGTTGTGACAGCTGATGCTTCACTCGACATATCACCGAACCAGTTTCGATTCTATGGAAAGGGGAACTATCGAAATTATCAATGTCACTACGTACCAGTTTCACCTGTAGGAGGACCTAACACTTGGAACTATCGTCCTCCGCCAAACGGTATAGATGATGCCGTCTATGACGAACTAGCTGTTTTTCAAGAAGCAAGTATACTACCCCAAATTGTTGTTCATTTTAAATAAAATGATATCAGCACATTCTGCTCATTAAAAGCGTTAAACCATAATGCACCATTCAAAAGCGTACGTGTACCCCGATGATACATAGATGAAAGCGCTAGCTATAAGTGTTTCGCGCACATGAGTGGCTTCCCAGAAAAATGCACTACACAAGCTTTCTCTTCTAACTAACTAATCGATGAATCACATACGTATATCGCAAAGCGTGCGCTTTAAATTTATCATGGTTTGTAACGCGAGTATCAGCACACTCCAAGTCTAAATGTGTCACATATATATATATTTTCAGAAACAAATCAAATTTATTTTTTCTGATTCGAATGTATTTATCTCATTGAAAAGTACGCATCTCATTCCATAACGATTTTTCCCGTATAAAATCAAACAAGAAATCTTCAACTATACAACCTAAAAAGATTTCAAAGCATCAAAGCAAAAAAAAAGACAGTTTACTTCAGGGTTTGTACTTTTATTTTTTTTATGCATCGATAATTCGATTTTCATTTGAATACCACCACCACGTCCACACATGTTCATGAGGGCATTTTGAATAGTAGTTGAAGTACACCGAATTCAGCTTTGAATCCATTTCAACCAGACAACATATACTTAGAATTCTGAAGAAAACTACAGAAACGCACGTTCTACTATTTTTCATTCAATGTATTCTCAGTATGAATATGAATACTCTCAAAATTCCATCATACTAACAGTCTCAATGCTTTCAAATATTTCTACATATTTTCGAAACACAGAAAATTACATCTAGAACAAGTGACGTGACTTTCAACGAAAGTAAATGTCTTGCATCGAAGTTCTCTTCATGTTATTCTTGTTATCTACTCAACATGTTTGATTAAAATCAAGCACACATAAATCTGTCTCTTAAATTCAATTTCTCCATTTATATGCTCTCACCAATTCATAGTTTTACAATTTCTAGTCAATAGTATATTTAGTCATCATCTTCATAAATCCTGGTAAATTTTGCGATAAACTTGTTGTCATGATATTCTTCCCACAGATCGTTTCCTTTGTCTATAAAATATCCATTACGATGATGATAACGATAAGGCGCATCCCAGTAGCCATTTCCATTCTCAGCGATGAGAAACATTTCGTCTGAGTTGTCAGCACGAGACCAGTGAACATCTGCGCTATCTTTATGAAAATGAACAAACATGTTTCTTGATGGATCAGAAATTTTAACCTTGTTTGGAACAAGTGTTTGACCGATTAATTCAACATCTAGTGTGTCGATACATTTTAATTGAATGATTTTTGCATCATGCATAATATTCTTTACAACATATCCACTGTATGGATAGAAGAGAACTTCTTGTTCTTCGGGAAACTCAGAATATTGTGAAATATCAGTACGATACGTCCAATCATCTTCTGATGCTTCGATTTCAAACATATAATTACCAAAACTATGTGCTACATCTTTGTCTCTTGATGTACACGTAAATGTTGGCCACAAGAATTGTAGACCTTCTTTATATTCGTGTTTAACATGTTCACTTGTTAGACTTAAACCACGATAGACTTTTAAAGAGTCTTTTTGATTATTATTTCGAATGGCCGTTCTTAAACTATTGATAAATTTTGCATTGTTTTTTAATACTTCATAGTCATCGTCAAGAAGAGCTGTACTAATAAGATTATAATACTGTCCCTCTTCTTTTGTCCATCTGAAAAAAACTTCATTCGCTGGATCGCATTCAACATCAAGGCGAATTATTTCACGATAAGATGGACGACGAAAAGTAGGTAAAAGAAAGCGGGATGTTACACATGAAAACCTGTCGACATTACGCACTGATGTTGCCATAATAGAATCTCTTTGACTGATTTTATAAATAAATAGATAAGTTATATTTATATTGATTGACTCTGAAACACAAATCAGTTAAACAGACGATTAGTATACACTTTTCAGCAGCGTAGAGAGCCAATTGTCAAATAGAAATTTGTTTTTGAACCCGAAATCTGTACAAATAAGAAAACAAAATTCAAAAAGATTTTTACGTGAATATTTTCTTAAACGGATGCAACAATATGCAGGCATTTCGTTAGCCTGATGTTAGATAACAGCGATAGCTGCCCAGATAAAACCTGAGGCTGAGTGCATAATATTATTTTTCAAATTGGAAATGTAAATTCAGACGCGTTTTGAGCCAAAAACTATTTTCATGAGAGCAGGATGATTCAACTTTACATGTAACTAGTACTACTTGAACTTTAGGATATAGATGGGATTCAAAACAAAATCAGCTTGAAATATTCAAATCTATTTTTCCTTAGATAAAGTTTTGGTGTACTTTATCTTTCATTTTATTTTCAATACTAATAGTTCGTTTTTTCGATGGTTTAAAAATATTGACCTTCGTTCTTGTCAAAGGTTTGAAAAATTTCGTTACTACTGTACTATTAAAAGCAATACAAAATGAAAACGAATAATTATCTGATAACGAAAAAATATCTCAAAGTGTATGTCGCTCGTATAGAGAAGATAGTTGGTAAGTGACTCCGCAGTATAAATCAATAGAGAAATAATTCAAAGGTGAAATCGAAAATACTCATTTATATGAAAGAAGATCATTTCTGGCGAGAATCTATAAGTAGTATAAGAGTCGCATGCTACACTGTAAAAAAAATAGGTACTTTACGGAACCTCGAAAAAAAGGTTCGGTAGACGCCAAAAAGTTTGCAAATGTGTTCAAAGTTGAAAAAAAAGAATAAAAAAATCCACGGAACCTTTAAAGGATCTTACCGTGTACCCAAGTGAAGATCTTATTTTCTTCGAAACCTTTTTAAGGTCCGTACAACAAAAAATAGGTTTTCAAGGAACATACGAAACCTTTAAAGTTTCGTAATAAACCTCGTGATTTCGTACTGGACTTGCTGTAAAACTATTATATTTAATAAGAAACTCTAAAGGTTTCGTATGTTCCTACAAAAACCTATTTTTTCGTGTACGGACATTAAAAAGGCTTCGAAGAAAAAAGGATCTTCACTTGAGTCCATGGGGTATTCCATTTCAAACTGAATTCAAACAAGAAAAAAAAATATCGATGTGAAGCCACCACAACACGACCTGCCAGCACGATCGTGATAGCGATTTCATTGGTTCGCCAAAGCCAACGAACCAAATTTCACGATAGTGGGCGCCTCTTGATGGTGCGCACTAATCTACATGCGTGCATTTCCAGCGAAACACAAAAGACCAATCCAGTACAGTGCTAGTTCTCTGCCGTTCTACCAAGGAAGAGGAAGAAAACGCCCGAGAAGTACAAAGTCTTGCTACGACAAGTGGTATAACCACCCCTGACCCTCACCCTTCGTTTTCCGGCGGGTGAATTTCATATCAATCGATGCAGCTTCACAAGGGCTATCGACTGCACCGGTAGTTTTCTCCCGGAAAACCAACGACGAGCGAGAAAAAGCCCTAATACTGTAAAATCTCGCTAAGAGAAGTGCTGTTAGCCCCCCTTGCGGTCCCTCTTCGTTTTCCTGGGGGTGAATTTCATATCAATCGATGCAGCTTCACAAGGGCTATCGACTGCATTCCTAGTTCTCTCCCGGAAAACGAACGATGCAGGAGAAAATGCCCCAATACTGCAAAATCTCGCTACAGGAAGTTGTGTTAGACCCCGTTGCGGTCCCCTTTCGTTTTTCGGGGGCTCAATTACGCATTCATCGACGCCCCTCAACGAGGACTATCCACTACAAACGCTCATTCTCTCCCGGAAACGATAGACGACTCGCAAATGCTGCTTTATCGGTCGCATCAGCACGATTTTGCAGTTTCCGGGTGTTTTCTCCGCGTTCCTTGTTTTTCCGAGCGAGACCAAGGAGTGCAATGGATAGCCATGCTTGAGACGCATCGATCGATGTGTATTTCAGCTCCCGGAAAACGAGGGGAGACTGATAAAGGGGGTGGGATCATCTGACACAGGAAAATTTAACAGTTTTTGGGCACTTTTCCTTTTTCCCTTCGTTTTCCCGGAGAGAACTACGAGTGTAGCGGATAGTCCTGCTCAAGATGCATCGATTGGAAACGAAATTGAGCACCCGGAAAACGACGCCGGAGAGCCTCGCGCGCTAAAACCGATTGGCTTAGCGAGATTTTTCCGTATTAGGGAATTTTCTCCCTCATCGTTCGTTTTCCGGGAGAGAACTACGAATGCAGTCCATAGCCCTTCTAAAGCTCCCTCGATTGATGTGACATTCAGCCCCCGGAAAACGAAGGGGGAGCGTAACGGAGCCCAATACCGCTTGGCTTAGCGAGATTTTGCAGTATTGGGGCATTTTCTCCCGCATCGTTCGTTTTCCGGGAGAGAACTAGGAATGCAGTCGATAGCCCTTGTGAAGCTGCATCGATTGATATGAAATTCACCCCCAGGAAAACGAAGGGGGACCGCAAGGGGGGCTAACAGCACTTCTCTTAGCGAGATTTTACAGTATTAGGGCTTTTTCTCGCTCATCCTTCGTTTGCCGGTGGTGAAACAGGGTTTTCTGGGTGGTCCGTTGTATCTGGGCGCTTGCTAAGTGAATTGGTTTGTTCGCTTTGCAGGAACAGGTTTTTTTTATTGTTTTTTGAGATGTGTTGACGAATTGGATCAATGATGGGAAATTTTGGATGGGGAATGGTAAAGTATGGAAGTTGAGTGATTGGTTGTTTTTTGCTGCATTTCTATTGGTCGTCGTGGTGACTTCACATCGATAAAAAAATACCTCGACTTCAGAAGGACAGGGGGTTTAGGGGATCCTAGAAAAACCGTAAAGAATTCGAACCGGACACCGATTAACAAACATTCTTAACCAAAGCTTCACGATAATTTCTTCAACTTCCACGCTTCGCATGTTCCAACCAAAGCTGCAACGGTCAGCCGAACTCTATGTAACCCCGAAACGAGAAGTACTCAATTGATTTCATATTTCTGAATTCTGAATTAATATATATGTGTATCCCCCTTATGTGTATGTTTTTTTTGAACGGGGGGGTGCAAATTTCTANAGAAATGCAGCAAAAAACGGTATTAGAAATGCAGGGAGAATAGAGAGGTGGAGCAATGACTATGATACACCTCAACAGTTACGTCGTGTTTCACATTTAAATCCCGAAGGGATTACGCTAACATCTTTTTTTTACAGTGTACTCTTATAGTGTTTTATTTATATAGGATTTTTATTTTATAGTCACCTTCCGTGAATCTCAGCAAGGGATACGTACTCTTAGATATTTCACTGCAATCAAGCCAAAATGATAAATGAATAATATTGATTTTAATTAACATACGTACTGTCAGATATATCATTGAGATAAATCTAAATTATAAAAAAAAATGAATATATTGATATAAATCAAAATATTGCTGAATATTACTAACATGAATGTAAATAAAACCAATAAATATATGGAGTTTTTTAAATATTTACCATTGTAAAATCATTTCCGTTTGAAACAAAATAAAACTGTAACACTTCACTTTTGTTACTGTTTTACTGCTTATGATGGTGTAGTTTTTGATTTTGCGACAGACTCTCCGTCAACTAGAATAAAAATGTACTATTCATTTTTTTTGAATAAGTAGCGACTAAACGAGCATCGATAGTTAGCATTATCCACTGATGATTCCAAGACACTTATATTAATGTGAAACGGCTAACAAATCAGTGACCACAATGGCAGCCGGTTTGTACCGTCCGTATGACATGGTGATCAGCAAAAACAACAGTAAATGCGATCCGTACGCATGAAAAAACCAATATTTTCGTAGATAATAAAATTTTTAGAGAAGTTCGATATCGATTTTAACCACAAATAACCTTAACAAAAAAATTTAATAACTGAAAATAAAATTTTTGTCACTAATACAAACAAAATCCGATTTTCTTATGTTGTTTGCCAGACGGATATGAATGTTGAGAATTGATTGCATCAACCCTTTCGAAAAGAGTAGATAATTTGGTGTAATTCATTCATGTATTTCGCAATCTGTGACGAACAAATCGACAACAGCACATTTATGTTGTCCGTATTTGCGAAAAGGCACAACCGCATACATTTTTTCAGGTGGTTCTAATTTTCGTTGAGTAGTTATATATTCTGAAAGGTTTTCCATCATACGTTTCTTAAATTAAAAAAATAATCCACATTTTAAACATAATTCTCTAGTATATCTATTATTAAAAAGGACCCGCTATTACGCACATCTTGCTCTCGACAATATAGAACTACATCTGAATATTACAATATTTTAAATGCAATACAGGTGTACTACGTTCAAAATACACATTCTCATTACCATAGTGCAAGAAAATAAACATTTTCGTAGATTACAAGTAAAACCAATCTCAATGTGAGATTCCTCCAATCGTATGATTTACGAGAAACAAATTAGGAATATTTAAACTTCTATTTTTTGAGGAAATGAGCTTAAAACTAATGAAGTACTTTTCAAAACACGTCAAAGGAAGACTAAATCTTTGTCACAATTAGAAGTTATTGTGAAACTATTTCTTCACACTGAAAAAAATTAATTAACCATACGTTCTGTGTGAAGTTTCTCTTTGTCTAACTCTTACTCGCAAGTTCATGCAACATTTTCCCCTTTGTCCTATTGCATACTGATATACTGACATTTGCTCTGAATTGAGAAAAGCATTTTTCATAGTTATATGAAATATTACTAATATCAAAATCTAGATAATTCTGCTTGCATCAAAACCCACGACGACTTGATACTAACGAAAAATGAGTGACGCAATGATAAGAACCGTAAGACATCAAAGTGAGTCACGTAAAAGCACACCGTCGTTATTTACATCTTTCATAAGCAATCTTCGCAGATAAATAGGCAAACGACTGACTAGCACCATGGTTAAAACCGCTGGTAAGTGTTGTAAGTTTCTGGTTATTTTACTGTGTACATTATACATTGGCCCTATTGCTATTCGATCTCAAGCACCTGCGCCCCCACAATGGTCTTTAGTTTGGATGACAAGTGGTAGTTCACTTAATCAATATAATAACCAAACAACAGGTGCACAAATCTTTTATGATTGGAGACAACGATCACAAGCTATTAATTTGATGCGAGAAGGCTCCTACACGTATACGATATTTAACATTGAAAATACTGTTTAGCGATTAGAACGTGCAAATCGATCGTGTTGTGTCGATCCTCAACAAACTGGTGTAACTCCACCCAGACCAGATAGGAAGAACTGCATGCGAAGAATAGGATCGTAAAAACTAATTAGTTTTAGTCGATTGAGAGACACCAAAAGAGTCAAGATTAAAAGATAGATATTCGTATTTTTAGTCAGATAATTTTCTTCCCAACACACTTAATTGCAGAAGGCTGATTCAGAATGAATTAAAAAGCAGAGCAAAAATTTTTTTGAAGGATACATTCTTCGAGAGAAGATTCGGATGATTTTTCACTTAAATCAAATACTGCGATTAACAGTTAGTAGTGCTCTCTCATTGACTTCTATGCTGTGTAACATAAACAGAATAACCTAGGGTAGTAAGTATATTCAAAATAAAACTCAGTGAACATGAATCGTGCCCGTTTCTGCAGAGACTGGTTACAATCTGGCAATGATACTACTTACGATGGCATTGTTTCAGTGATGGAACATGCATGTCACTCATAGACAAAAACAGTGCCGGATGTTGAAACATTTTCATGGGTGACAGCAGTTGAAACAGGTGTACCGTGTCGTCTTGGATGGTTGAATGCTGTTCATTTCGAGTTCTCATTTTATTCCGATAATCCTGATCTTTTACCTAAAGGCATTTTTGATGTGCTCGATTATTGTCCACAAGTAATAACAGATCCTAATTACAACATCATGGATTTTTGGAGATAATGTGTTCATTTCGATAAAATTTGATTGAATCTTAAATGTTACTGTCAAGTCTCAAAATAAAAGCTTCACATTTCACAGTGTATCATTGAAATAACTCCAAGGTAACCTGATTTCTCAAGAATAAAATACATATGGAATTGCATGAACGCTCACCATTTCCACAATAACCTATCCGCTAGCTGATCATTTTTGTACAGCTGGAAGTTTTTACTAGTTGAAAAATGCTAATTACTCACAGTCATAAAACATGGTAAACAGTGAATGTGATCGCGGACATGAGTAGTGTTGGGCAGGTGCAATTTACAGAGAATAAACACAGTTCTATCGAAGATTAGCAATTACACAGTTGAAATTTTATCTTGTTGATTGTCTTTGATTTTCGTAACTATATACTTTTCAATATTTTGGCTTTACTAAGTGCCGTACTTTAGATTGTTAACATGCCCGATGATGGCTATAGGAGCAACAGCCGAAGCGCGCCGCACGATGGTTCGAATCTATTTTCGACGAACTCACTCATACTCCTTTCTACTCTACTGTACGTGGATATATTCTACTTGACACTTGGCTGATAATCTGATAAAACCTGCACCATCCCCTTCCTGGTGGTTATATTTTCGCGGAAAACCGATGCTCACTCTTGGTGATCGCTTGAAGCAATGCACCGGTCTTCGAACTAAGTTACATCATCAAGAGAAAGGAATTAACTGAATTTGCACTTTGCGGTGTTTTCTCTCAATGACATGTTGACCCACACAGAATATGATTGTGCAAGATTTAAAGTAATACGTTAGCACGCCTATCACGTGTTAGGCATCAAATGCGCATATAAATATTTGGTTTGATTCTGTTATCTGGCACATTGGGATTCACTTTGATTTCTTCTATTCTGTCGATTGATAAGAAAAACATGACTGAAGAGTCAGTGTTGCTCTCGACTGTGATCGTGTTCTTGTGGATGCTCATGCAACTTTTGCTCAAGTCTATGAAAAAGCCTCTGGAAAACAATGGAATGTTGTCTCATCTAAGTCCTTTCGTGTAAATTCAAACTGAGATTTCTATCTGGCAACTCCGAATTTCCGGCTCATAGGCTGCCGATATGTACGGTGTAAAATTTACATCTGAAGAGGAGAACCATTTATATGGTGTGTGGGATGCCGAAGCATGGGGAACCATGCCCATGCTCGATGGATCTCTTGAAGTTTGTCATCTATTACATCAAGCAAGCTATGAGCTAGTCTGCGTCACAGCGATGGCTCCTCAGTTTACTGATCATCGTTTGGAAAATTTTCGATCACATGGATTTCAGATCGATCGTGTAATCAGTACCGATTATGATAGTGAAAATCCTGGCAACAACCCGAAGCAACAAGCAATCGAAGATTCAAAACGGAATTTCAAAGATATTCACGGTGTACATACCCGATTCGTTTTTATTGATAAATATCAGGATGATCCTAAACAGCACGGGAGCATTTACCACGATGTCAAATATCCTAGTCTGTTAGCTTTCCGTCCATGATTTTCTTAAAACTGGCCATGCGAAACAAATTGCATGAGCAGAAAGGCTCACTTCACTTCTTCCATCGATTCGATACTTAACTTCTAGGTTTTTAGTATTTAATAAAGATGAGTGTGCTTGACTATATATTGACATGTTGGACTGATGATCGAACATTAAATAAACAAACTCAAATTATTTTGCATTGCACGAGTAATGCAGAGTTTATTTTTCAGAAAGTCCAGAGAACAAGTCGCAAAAATGCAGCTAAAATTGAACAGCTCGAATATATGAATTAAAGGTAGGAATTGTAAATAGTTTATAAATTCGATTAGAAAAAGAAGATCATCGCGAGAACAGTCATGTATATAATGTGTTCTGTTAGCCATATTTATTCTCTGTAAGCAGACAACTCAACCTACCGAACAATTTTGTCACGAACAATATCAAATCTATTCTCGAAACAAAATAAAAATAATGTTTTGGTTGCAACACGTATGTTTAAACAATTGATTGAAAGCATGAATAGAAGTCTTGATTATAAAAAGAAAAAAAAACGTGCACTTAAAGTAGATGATGTTGTCTCTTACACCCATACTCACAGGTTTATGCATTTATTTAATAAAAACTATAAGTATTAATTCATTTTTCATTAAGTCTATCTCTTTGTGTTTTTCTGCGACAATATTGATTTGAACAACTATTTCTAAAAAATACCACGGTGGTGGATCAATGTTCTTTTCTTCTGTCAGCCGATCATGAATAAAAATTTATTGATCATTTTGACTTTGGTATTTCTATTGCAGGACTAGACGAAGAGTTTGACTAGCGCCAATCCCATAGTACTGCGTGCCATGTATCACCGGAACGCAAATCATTGAAAGTATATATTGTTTCGAAACCGACTCTAGCATGAGCACGAAGTGACCGAACATTCTTATTTGAGATACACGTAATCATCATTTCATAACGATCGCTATACAACTCGCGATGTTTTTGTAACATTCCATCAAAGACCATTTGCCCTCGATACCCATCGGCTACACATATTTGACCAAGTATGTAATAGGTGTTATCGCGAAGAGGTTTACCTTTGTAGTCTAGAGTGTTGATTAACAAAATAAGTTTAGCAATGTCTGGCAGTTCTACCGCAATTTCAGGTAAGCTTGCCAATGCATAGCCAACTAATTTGTTCGAAGTCGTGTCTGTGGCAATGACACTCGGTGCTGGCTGATTCATTTTTCGAAGAACATCGTATGAATACTCAATGGAAAGGAAACCATCTGATGTCTGCTGATCGAGAGAAAGATTTTTTCGAAGATTGCTTTTCATCAACGATATAATATTCAATAAATCCTCTTCGGATTGAGCTGTTCTGAATGAAATCATCACACCAGGTAACTAGAAAGTGTGTAGGATAGAATCGTAGTGCACTGTAAGTGATAAAGTCCATGCTAGTCATTAGCTTTTTTCTTGTTCTTATCGGATACTATTTGCTTCGTTCTATAAATATAATATGCCGACCGGAGTCATTTAAAAAAAAGGGAAAGAATCACGACAATTGTTTTATCGAGAAGCATCAACCAGTGGTAATTAGATATTGTTTCAACAAATATTTATTCGTAGATTCTGTCATTGCTTGATAATAAAATGTGCTTACTGTTTATCAAAAGAGAATTGAAGATTACTTCAAATAGCTGAAAGTATTTTAAATGTTTTCAAATCAATGGCACCTCGATAGATAGCACTGGTCGATTTTATTACTCTATGAAATTGCTTCAAAGATCAACTGGAATTCATTTCAGCACCAATAATATTTCTGTTATTTATCATGCGTTAGATGAAGATCTTTTACTGATGTAAATGTTAGTTCTTCAAAGATATCATTGATCATTCATATGCAATGCCGGTGGCATTTAACTAGAAATAACAGCTGTTATAAATGGGGTTCTGTGTACTCGTCATTTTTCTTGTTTTTTTCTTTTCGTTGTTATCTTGATTTGCCGCAGAAAAAGAGGTATATGTAGGACTATAACAGTTCGCAGTTCAGTTCAGTTCAAACGAACTGTTTGAACAGTTCAGTTCAGTTCAAACGAACTGTTCGAACAGTTCTTTTGAACTGAAATATTTCCGAACTTATAGTCCTAGGTATATGACTCCAACTAATAATAACAGGTAGAAAAAAAGGATACGATTTTCAAGCAGAAGGTCGAAATCATGCCAGAAACTAATTGAATAATAATGGTGAAAAAGTTCAGATTCGTAAAATTTTCTAAAATGTCTTTTTCCAAGTACATTTTGTAGAGAAAATAATAGCTTTACAGGTCGGAAGTTTTCATTGACGAGCCAGTATTTTCTAAAAAAACGTCTGCTACATTCGCTCTCAAGGTGTTTGCCGATATACTGCTTTTACCACGTTTTGAGGTACGTAGTTTTGTGGAAAACATATCGCTGATCAAAGTGTATGATTCTTTTCTATAGCAAAGAAAGATGCATCTTATTACATCATATAATATTTCAAAACAAACTCATGAAGGGCAATTTTTTCTTTGTTCTAATTGTGAATCATAAGTATGTAAATCGGTATATCCATACCGATGAATCACCTTGCATTGCCGTCGTTATAAACCCCAATTGCATCACATTCATCTAGATACAATAATATACTCGTCGGCACAGCAAATATTTCAAAATACTTTTAGACATTGTACAGCCTGAATCTTATCGCATAGTGTTCATTGAGTTCGATTTAGAAAAAAAAACGGTATTCATAGAGAATCCTCGTAACATAAAATCTACTTCAGATAATAATCTTATTGTGATAACATAGATTCATACGTTAAGTGCATTCTTTTCTAGAGTTCACATTATTCATGACGCAATGTGGGTAGAACGCTGACGTTGTTAACACCTTGAATTTCCAACTAAAAAAAGATTAAAATTTAACGTTATTTTATTCTAAATTTAATTGAATTCGATTCATTGTCGATAGATGTACTAAAGCATATTCTATTGTGTTCGAATCATTTCACTTTATCATAGTATTTATGAAAAAACAATTAGTTTATCGTTTCATAAATGTTCATGTCTTTGTCTAGTGATAGAATTCACGAAGTTCAAGCACTGAACGAAAGGATAAGAAAGCGAACAATTAACAGCCAAAGAGAATGAAAGACAAAAATAGATGTCACAAATAAAAAACTGAAAAGAAAGCAAGTAGCGATGTTTGTGTTTAAACCTTGTGCGCTCTAATAAAATCTCATTTCGTCAAAGTTACAATCATGAGGCAAAGATATGGTTGTTTGTGGTGAATAGGCAGATTCAGTTTCCAATGAATAATTTTTTCCTTCATTATTATCCCAATGTTCTTGCCCATTGACGCGATAACGAAGGACAAAGTCAACTCGATCAATATCATTTGGAATATCAATATTAAATTCAAATTTATCTAGATTACGAAAATCATTTGAATGAAAAAGATGTTTAGCTTGATATTCATTTTTATTCGACCATCGACTAAATGTATATTGAAGAGTAACATTTTTATGATAACCAGCATTGGTGACCCATGTTGTACCATATAAATATTGTTCGCCAGTTAATGAAGATTTGAGACGTATACTAGCATATTCTAATTTTATTTGGGATTTCCATACTTCATGTAAATATATATCGGGATGTTCGGAGTTCGGTTGACGATATAAACAAAAGAATTTTTTCGGTACTCGAATAGACGAAGTTTGTTTTGATGTTAATTCAACGTCAAATACCCATGGTTTATTTTCTAAATGTAATGATACTGGAACATACAGATTATTGCTTAAAAATGGAAAATTCATTGAATCTTCATCAGTAAATGAGTGAAAGTATTGCACTTGTGTTAATTCACCGCCATCTGAATCAGAAAAATGAACTCTTTTTTTCTTTCTTCCAATAGGCCTTTTTCGTCTTCGAACACCGGTAGAATTATTTAGATTGCTAGTTGATGCTGATGTACTGGGCGTGAGTCTCGTTGGAGAAGAGTGTGGTGAAGAATTCGGAATTTCATTGGGTACAACAAACTGAAATTGATTATCAGATGTAGACTCTTGAGATATCGGTGGCGATTGTTGGTGTGATCGTATTCTTAATCCTGAAATAAAGATTTCAGTACTTTTAAGAAGTTATTAGCGAAACAAGCCAGAACAATACATAGAAAGAGAAAATTGTTTCCTGTTATATCAAATCATAATTCTGCTGTATTATGACTGACATGAAACTAAAAGTTATTTTCATCAAAACTTTATGTCCAAGTTTATACGTTAATAGCTTTTTCAATATGAGTACTTAATAATGTATAAAAAGCCTAGAGGTCATGATATCTATCTATGTCGTTGATTGATAAATGTTTTATTATGAAATGTCAAAATTGATTTTACCAATAAAAATCTATACGTTTGCGTGTCATCTTTGTTTAGCGATGATGTATTCTATTACGTAAACATAAATCGAATACAACGAAATAGTTAATATTATTTAATATTTATTTTCTATGAATGCGACCAACATGATTCTAAATAAATCTCAAGAAGACTAACGAAAGTTTAGCGAATAGACTTTTAGATAGAGACAGCCAAGATTATATCCCAACAATGATCCATTAGTATCCGAGCATCTTTACTGAGTCTGATAGAGATACTGGCACACTCTGGTTTCCTTTAGTAATAATAGGGGAACAAAATTGATTTTTGAATTTCAAATCCTTCCATTTGTGTCTATATCGGAAATGCGAGTATCAAATTTCAAATTGACTGGTTTATATAAACGATTTAGACAAATTTTCAAGTAAAAACTCAGCCAAACTCATGCTTCTAAGGCAGATGAGAACACTCGATGTGAGTAAAACTATATTTTTCTTCAGCAATAAGTCAAAAATATGATCTTTTTTTCAAAATATTGAATCTGAAAAGTACCGGAAGACTTTCTTTGTTTAACAAGAAATTATTTCTAGTAGGGATGTACCAATTCCAATTCCAACCAATTCAATTCCAAGCCAAGAATTAGAATTGGTTGGAATTGGAATTGGAATTGACTCCCCACGGAAAAAATTTCACTAAAAAAACGCGGGAGTCAGACCTTTTAGACGTCTCTAAAAAAACCGCTGAAAACCGCGTTTTTTTTAAATTGAATAAACGGTCTGACTACCCCGTTTTTTTTCAGCGCGTCAGTACGCGAATACCCCAAGACGCGATCAGACGCGGTTTTAAAAAAACGCAGAAAAGTCGGTGATAATCCCGGTTTCAGAATACCGCATTTTTACAGTTGACCTGATCACTTCGATATGCTCAGGTGACTTACCCTTCGTGGGGTAGTGTAGTGAACTATAAGTTCCAATACTTCAAAGTCGCATTGCAGCGACGAACTTCATATTAAATTTTATAATATGATACAGATAGTAAAGTGCGCACGATATCCTTTCTGTTCTTACACATTATTGCAGCAACATCGTACGAAATGCGCAAAGACAATACTGTCAGTTTATGATACCCCGACGCGGTTACAATCGAGTTCAAAGAGGTTTACGATACCGCGGTTTTTCTTGAAAAATCTTTTCAGTGTGGAAAAGACTTTATATCACATTTATGAAGATATACTACGAACCTAATCAAAGGTCGCTGAGGTACTCAAAAGTTCAAGCACAGAATGTGTTGAATATCATCAGCAGAATCTTCTCAGCACGTTTCATGAAGACGCGACTTATTCTACCGCGGTGCATCATGGGAGAACCGCGATAACAATAAAATCCGCGGTTGACCGCGATTTTTTCGAAATTTTTTTTCCGTGGGTCGAATTGGAATTGGTGCACCCCTAATTTCTAGACCTCTTTTATCAATGGATTCGAAACGAAAATGTTTTTTCACTTACTTGTTACTCGAAATTGGCTTGGCTTAATCGTATTATTATTGAGCTCTTTGCTTTTCACTAATTTGTCGTCTTTTTTTTCATCTAACGAAATTGATTCCAAGCTTTCATTAATAGCTTGCACTTTATCTTCAGGATTACTATTATTTTGTTCTATTGAATCTGCTTTTGTGAGCTGAGTTTCACCAGATGTTTGTTTTAATGATGCACACTCCTGTAGCCTTCGAAAAGCAAGGATACCGTTTAATGATGAATTTGAATTTAATATAATATCGTCAGTCAATTCATCTAGTTTTCTTGATGCTAGGATATTGTCTAATGTATCACTGAAATAGAATTAATTAAACTTTTGTTTTTTCTGTTCAATTTAAATAGAAACCTTGTTTTATCTTCTTTAATTATTGGTTTGCATAGATTATGTATTTCTTCGTCGGGCAATGGAAATGAATTTGATGAAGAAACATTGATTGGATAGGTATCGAAAAATATCTTCGATGATGAATGGCATATAGATCTTTGTGGTTCAGTTGTATATGTTTGTAGCAAATGAAAGAAAGCGACTGGGTCTTTTTTATAGAAAGACAATCCTTCGCTACCTTTATCTCCTATTGCTACATCAGCTTCGGTTAATGGTGTTTCCTGTTTAAGAGGTGTATGGGCCATCGTCGATTTTTGTAATGGTGACAAATTAAAATTTAGCAATGATTTAGGTTTATGACTACTATCTCCTTATAAAAAAACATAAATAAATAAATAATTATTCTATTTAATAATGTCTATTTTTTCTTCGTGCGCGATTAGTGCGTACGAGATAGATTTATTTCGTACTCAATGCTCTTTTGTTTTCAAGAACATTCAAAGGTTAATAGAAGAAATATGATTATGCATGCGATATGTTTTTACTCTCATTATTTAGATAGCGGTTGACCAATGTATGCCCGGTAGATCTACGCCAGCCGATATGCTGTTTAGTTTTTATACAAAATGATTAAATGCATCGGCCAATGGTTCATTCTATAACTGCTTATTTCATCATCTGTCATGCTATTTATGTAGAAATAGAGTATCATGTTTCTATACTATTATTAACTAAGTTATAATTTATTGTTGGAAAATAAAAATAAACGGATAGAAAGTACCAGCGAGATGATATTTCCGTTTTTTTCGATTCTATCTTGGTATGTCTACATATTTCAAATATATTCTTACCGAAATAATATGGGTGACAAAAACACTAATTGCACGTTTGTTCAACGAACTATTCTACAGATTATTCTATGCCTGTATTTGTGAGTACGTTTTAAAAAAGGTTGGTTGTAAATTCGCATCTTTCTTTATATATATATGTGTCTGAGGGTCATCGAGTCCATTATAAGAGAAGAGAAGAACGGCAAGAGAAAAAGCCAATGTATTTTCTTTCGGGCTAACATGTGTTGCTCGTGAGAAGAATGCAGCAAGAAAAGAATGTCTATGTCCTTCTTTTTTTTCTTTTATGTATAAAATCGAGATATAAGAGAAAAAAATGAATAGAAACTGAATTGAGTACTCCGGGGTCGAGATCTTTTGTTGCCTTTCAACGTGGAAAGCATCGACGTGATCCACCATTGAAGAGATTCGCATAATCGTATGTGATAAACTTAATGCAATACAATTTATTAGATTTTTTTTCTTGCTCATTGTTTCAATATTCATGATTGTAGATTGGAAACACATAGAATCATATAGCGTGTGCATAAAGTGCTTTAATGTATTATTCAAAGACTATGGCCAAAAGCTACAAATTTGTATTCATCATAACAACAAAATTCAACAGCTTGTATATTTCCATCTTGATTTGAGAAAATTATTTCTGTTTCTTGAATATTTTCTGCTGACCGAGTGTTGATAACAAATGAAAAGCAATATTTAACATAAAAATTTCAGTCGACTGATTTATCCTTTACTTCTGTCATAAACGAGATAAAAAGAAAACAATAAGTACGAGAGTTCTCCTGAGAACAGAAAATCGTGCATTGCACGCACGTATCATTTACCATCGAGGCAAACGATAAGAGCAACTATTATTCAACTGGATAAAACTAATGCGATCTGTGTATGAACATTTATATTAAAAAGATCTGTTAGTTATAGTTTCAATAAGTCATCCAAGTAAATCATACGCAAGTTGCACGATTCATTATAAAAGCATACATATAGAAACAACACACTGTTTATTCTCTATAGACAACTTGAAATTCAAGGCCAAGAAAAGTTTGCATGTAGACTCTGACGCTATATGTTCCCACCGTCGGTTAGCTCTTCATCTATAACATATACTAATCAAAGTACGATGTCAGAGAAATTTTATATGAACATGTTAATCATATAGTAGAGGATACTTTTGAGATGCACAAAAGACCGGAATTCATAACTTTTTGCAAGTAGATTGAGTGCGAGTAAACAATGTTGTATTTTACAAGACACATATTTCATTCAGAATGCATTACTTTTGTAAAAGATATTAGATTCTTGCTTTCTAACATTTCGCTAAAGCATAAGAGTATGACTATTATCAGAAATCAAAAACAATACAGAACGTGTAGTGATTTTTATTCGAAATAAAAAAAATAACAATCCAAACATAAATCACTGTAGATGTTAATTCCATTATTTCTTTGTTTACAAAGCGTTGTCGTGAAATCGTTAACTCTTTGTGCTTACATTATATATTCTATTGATCCATTAAAAAGAAATTGTTAAATACAAAACGACCTGTTCTTCATCGTCCACTATTTCATCAAGGCGAATGGGATTGATTATGTTGCTCAGAAAGTCTAAAACTCTAGTGGAAAGAATACACATGAAATCTGATACCCTATTCAGAGATGAATAGCGCATACCAACACAGATTATTCGAGATAGAACGCAGACAACAGGTGAATCAGAGGTGAAAATTTAAAGCAATTCATTTATAAAAACAAGATCTTCACAGATGTTTCAAGAATTATTAACACAGAACTCAAGTAGTTTGTAAAATAATATTTCCAATATCTCATCTCTTCTGCTCATAAAAATTAGGTTTCTGCTTCATATGAATCCAATATTCATCTTATCCATGCAACTTCATCAATACATCTGTTCAATTAGACCGGCTTATAAAAAAACTCAGGCATCCTTAAACATATTCTTCGACTACCCGGATGTTCTGAATGAATGAATTCGTCAGTAGGGATGTTCATTTTTATTTATTGATCTTTATAATAACGAGTAAACATAAATAAAATGCTCCTATTTGTAAAATAAAGATAAATATCTTATTTATATTTAAAAAACAAAGATTAATAAATTTGAAAATCTTTATTATTTGAAAAATAAAGATAGATAAATTCTTTATATTTATAAAGTAACGATAAATGAAATATTTATGTTTACAAAAAAAAGATAAATAAATCAGACAATTCGAAAACATAAATATAATATAAATATAAAGTTAGCAATTTTTCTATGAGCGACAAAGAAACAAATACCTGATGCAACATCACAGAACACAGGTTAATTCGAACAAGTTCATTCAAAAAGCGCTGCTACAAAATATATTTCGTGCACAAAACAGAGATCTTTAATCTAATCAAATCAGCAGAGCTTTAGTAAATGAATAATAACGAAATTATTGTGCAGTATCTTCAATTCGTTTTCAGACCGATTTTTCTATCTAACATCAGCTTGCGATGTCATTAAAGGCTCCTTTAAATCCAAATCAATTATTGTTCATTTAGGAGATGAAGATCGCTTCATGACAAATACAGCTTCACGTTGAAATTGAACAGTTTTTTTTAGAGCAGATACTTGCTACATACAGTGTTTTTTACAGTGAACAGTAGTAGTATTATCGCATTCCTTTGGAAAAGTTCTGATTGTCAGTTTTTTTTTCGAGTAAAGTGAATTTCTATTTCTTCTTTGTTTTTCGTACTCTCAAGAAAATCGACCGTGCTTCTGTTATTTTTCTATTTCAAAAATACTTTGAAAGTCAATAGTTATTTTAATTACAACTCCTTAGCTGAATCTAAACGAGAAAGATGATAAATAAATAGAATTTTATCTTAAATGGTAAGATGCGCTGTAAAAAAAAGGTTTTCTACGGAACCAAAAAAGTATCTGAGCGCGGGCACACGGTCAGATCCTTTTTTGGTTTCGTAGAAAAAAGGTTCCGTATGGAACTTCTTCTTGGTAAATGGAAAAAATGGTTTCGTACACATGGTTCAGTACGAAACCTTTACCAGGAAAAGCCACAAATGTTTCGTACCACAGGTTCGGCACGAAACCTCCGCAATATTATGCTCAAATGGTTTCGTAAACATGGCTTCGCATAAAACTTTCCAAATCATATTCATCTGATGAGGAAACCCTTGGAAGTGATACATGCTTTTCGACTTGAGCTGCCATACTTATGGTCAATTTCAGTGAGTTAAGGAAAACCCCTGAAGGATGCCTTTCGTTAGTTCTCCCTTCAAAAGTTATCCTTATGTTATCAGAATTTCAGTGAAATGCCAAGGAGGAAGCCTTTGTAGTTGTCGAATTGGTTTTGAGTTTGAGCCCAGTTTGTCAGATAGTTCTTAGTGAAATATAAAAAGCTCCAAGTGAACGATGGCTCATAAGTCTTCTGTAGAAAGTGGTAGACATTTTCACCAATTTTAACCTATAGTGTCGCAGATATCAGTGAATTGAATGAGACTATTTCTATTTGAGATTTCATGAAGAGAGTAATTGACTTATGAGGGCAATGTTGGAAAGATTTTATTTTAAAAGCACACCTCTTTTCCAGAGTTTTCAAAGTTCAGCAATACCACTAGTGCCTAAAAAAAGGATGATAAAATGTGGTATTTTCCGTGAACTTTACTATCCCTAGGAAATATGCATTCTTGTGAAATAAACCTTTTCAAACATTTCTCTCATAAGTCAATTACTCTCTTCATGAAATCTCAAATAGAAATAGTCTCATTCGATTCACTGATATCTACGGCACTATAGGTTAAAATTGATGAAAATGTCTGCAACTTTCTACAGAAGACTTATGAGCCATTGTTCATTTGGAGCTTTTTATATTTCACTAAGATCTATCTGACACACTGGACTCAAATTCAAAAGCCATTCGACAGCTACAAAGATTTCCTCCTTGGCATTTCACTGAAATTCTGATAACATAAGGATAACTTTCGAAGGAGGAGCTAACGAAAGGCATCCTTCAGGGGTTTTCCTTGTCTCACTGAAATCGACTATATGTACGGCAGCTCAACTCGAAAACCAAGTATCACTTCCAAGGGCTCCCTCTTTAGACAAGAAAAAATATTGTTTACTTCAAACCCGTGAGTAAGTCTTCCTAAAGAAAACCACAAAAAGCATAAACCTACTTCCATATCAAGATTGCGAACTCAACCACAGCAAACAAATAACCAGTTATTTTGACCAATAAACTAACATGACAATTAGCATCTCACTCAAGTCTGAAACAGGAAAAGAATCACTTGTTAAACAAAATGTTACTTCGAAATCGAAAACCGGCATCGATCTACAACGGAAAGAAGACTATATTTACATAAGAAAACTTAAATTTAAGCATCCATTGAATATTTATCCGCGTCAGGCAAAAAACAAGCATTAAACGAATAGAATAGGTGCTAAATCTTATTTCTACGTGTTATATTTACCTAGATTTATTGTGAGTAGAATACGAGCTAGCACTTTATACGCTGTTCGCACGAAAGTGGCATCGCCGTCAGTTGTTCTTGTGGCCATCCTAAACAAAAACAACAAAGATCAGCAACTTACATTCTAAGATTCAACTTACCATTAAAAGAATTATTCACATATACCTAAAATATTTAAAAGAACACTAATTCATTCTATCAGATTCACATTACCTGTCTATTCATACATGTGACCTATCGAAAAAGATACAAGAACAATCACACCCTCAAGATACCACCAATTATTGAATTGATTTTGGTGACATAACTACCCAAGTCTACCATTCAACTATCGCTTCCCGGTCCTTGAAAAAATCATGACGCATTCGAATTCCTGGACATCGATAACCTATTCTAAACTTTGATCAGAATTCAGATCGGAGTTGAAATAAAAAGTTTAATTTTACAGTCCTTGATTTTTTGATAGACCCAATATCTGACCAATGGGAGCTCAGATCGAAAAAATGATCGCGGATTCGGAATCCTCGACCTCAAGAACGTACTTGAGATTTATATTACTTAAATCACGCTCCGAAAATATAGTCTTGCTTCAAGCCAGAACCATCTTTGGAAAAATGGTGCAGGAGGGACCATTTTGAAACATCCACAACTTTTGAGGATCTGAGATGGTTCGGTAAGCTAACTTGAACCCTCGAGTGTTTATTAGTGATTGAGGAAAACCCTATAAGGTCCAGTATCTTGGCTGGAACCATGAATGGTTCCGTATGCTTTCTACGGATCTATTGATGGTTTCACGAACTATATTATGGCTTCGTATACGGTGTACGAAACCATTAGGAGTTTCACCACTTATTTTAAGGTTTGGTATACATACTACAAAACTGTAGATAGTTTCGAAAACTAGATATAGGTTTTTTGTGAATTATATAATACCATTGATGCTTCCGTATATCTGTTAGAAAACCATTGGTAGCATCATGAACTCTATAATGGTTCGGCATCTCTTTACGAAACCATGCATGGCTCTATAATGTTTGCAAAGGTTTCGCATGTATTTTACGAAACTACTAATTACTTCAAAAGGCACAAAATGGTTTTGTATATCTTTTGCGGAACCATTAACGGTTTCGTGCAGTTATCTGAAGGTTCAGCAGACATATTGCGAAAAAGTTTTTCCAGTTTCATAGAGTATCTAAAAGTTCCGGATATGCCCTACGAAATCATTCATAGTTGTTTTAGGGCTGTAATCGTTCCGAATATATTCCACGAAACTAGTCATGGTTTTGCAAAAGATATACTGAACTTTTATATCATTTACGAAAGTGTGAATGGTTTCATGTATACCTAGGTCGAGCAATCCGACAGTAGGCATCTATCGGAACCCATCAGACCCGACTGGAATCCAATAGGATTTTATCGGATCCTGTCAGATCTTACAGAATTATCGTTCGATTCCGGGTCGAGGATCCGATGTCGGATCAGTCGGCCTGGGTCAATGCATGCTGAAACTTTGGATCCTTCGCGAAACTTTCCATGGATTCGTATAAGATACACGGAACCGTTACTTGTTAAACGAAACTCTCATTAGTTTCGTAAAACATAAAACCGTTCAGCGTAGATCGTACGAAAATATTCACTGCTTCATAAATGATACAAAGGTTCAGTATTTCTTTGCCGGAGCCGGAAATAGTTTCGTAGAATGTGCGCAGAACCTTTAGTGGACTTACGAAACCTTGAATGGTTTTGTATGACAAATACGAAACTACCAAAAGTTCGGTTCACGCTCAACGAAACTTCTAGATGGTTTCGTAGTAAAACGTCAAAACCTTTTCCAACTTTCGGAACTTAAAAAGGTTCTGTATGAAAGTTCCGAAACTGTTCTGATGCCACGAAACTTAAAATCGTTTCATAAAATAGTACCAAACCTTCAAAGTTCGGTAGAACACCAATTTTTTTACAGTGTGTTAGCACGAGCAATGCTTGTATTAGCTTCATACGATCGCTACTGTTCAAGTTCTCATCTATATCGACTTCGCTCAATGAGTAAAATACGAAAAGCGCGATTTATTATTGTCACAAGTACAATAATAGGTATTATCAATATTTTACCAATACTGGCTATCTATCACTGGGAAGAAACATTGGATATATGTCTTCAATATTCAAATCTATTAATCAATATTTACATTTCCAGTCAAATTCTTCTTTATTATATTTCAGCACCTATACTAATGATTATATTCGGTCTACTAGCTATATGTAATACTCGGAAGTCTATCGTTCGTACAGGCAGTCAATCAACTAATATACGTGGTCGTCGAACTCAAAAACAATTAACTCAAATGTTGCGTCTACAAATGAATATTCATCTTGTACTTACTGTTTCATTCAGTGTAGTTTATAGTATGACTGCGTTGAGTCCATCAACAAAAACTCCTAATATTATAGCTGTGCGTTATCTATTGGCCGTATGTAGGGATGTGCAATGTCAGTGTACTGACCACCGGCTTGCACCGACGGTGTGTCCAATGGAGTACCGACCACACCGACACTGTTTCACTGTGTACACTATCGGTGTAGTCGGTGATCAGTTTTTCAGTATTCACACCGACACTGCACATCCCTAGCCGTATGGCAAAAATGTGATTATTTTCTTTCATTTTTTCTTTATGTTTTTTTCTGGAAGTACTTATCGCAAAAGAATTAGTTCATATATTAAAATTCAGCAGAGGTCCAAATCAACTAATAGACAGCTTCAAAAACCGAAGAATTAAACCAATACAACAGCTTCCTATCGATGACAATACTGTATGATTCATGATTAGAAAACAGTAATTTCTCAAATTAAATTTATATTACAGAATGGATCAAAACTAGAAATATTATTATAATAACAGTTTCAATGGTAAGCTCTTACAATTCATTGCACATACTCTATCAGATATTTAACTCGAACCTGTATGAGGGGAATTTTCATCGTCACAGGGCACAATTTTATTCACCCTTCAGAAAAATTCTAAACTATTATAGATATTTCATGAAAAAGCATGAAGCAAAATAATCTTGTTTTCCTACAAGAATTGATCATTTGTATTTAGATAAATTAACTGTAATTAGAAATTTACTATCATACCATTGCTTTTTCATAAGATCACTACAATAGCGAGCGTTTTTTAGAAATTAATTGTTGGAAAAGTCATTATGTTTTGGCTTTCTGCTTAATACACTGTACCACTCTCCTACTGTTTAGCGCCTCAAGTTTGTTTTCACGGATGAACTTGTATTTCAATTGAGATATACTCACGATTTCATCTCGTGGGACAAAAAATATATTATTGTAAGGTATTTTCTGAACTTATGAAGTCATTTTGTTCAAGTACTTACTCTCTCTCTACGAATCATTCGTGAAAAATGTTAGAAATATATATTCGTAATTAGAGACGTTGTTTTTTAATTAAAAATAGAAAACAATAACTAAAATATCTAGAAAAAAAGACTGATTCTCATTATCATATATTAAAGATCACATCGACTTCGACATTCAGCACTGTCAACTCATCATAGAATGAACTTGCAATAGTAAGTACATCAGGATCTTTATTATTGAATGTGATTAGCAGATACGGTAAGTTCTGTTCGAAATGAGTACTGAACAAATCAGCAGTTGGAATACTCACCATCAAATAATATTTTTATTGATTTTGACGTTGTCTTTGCTATTGAAATATTGTATTTGATTGTGGAGGTCTATGTTAGCAGTGTGCTTGAAAAATAAATAAGTGTAGACTTGCTATTTAAGAGACCCTTCGCGAACTGCTTGTGAAACTATGTAACATCTAGATTTCAGCCATTCCATACTGAATCAAAAGAGTAGACAACCAGAAAGTTTAAAAAAATAACTTTTGTCCTTTCCAAGCACTCAGGGAGAGTTAGAGCATATAAAAAATATATATAT